TTTGTTAACACTTTATATCTACATTTATCAAAATTAAATTTGGTTTAACTTTCACTTATTCACTTATTGGTATCTAAAATTGCTCCTTAAGAAATTATTAAAATTACCAGCATGAAAGAATGTCTATTTTTAAGATAAATTTTTATCAGATGGTAAAAATTTATGAGTCCAATAAAACGTCTTGTAAAAAAGTGTTGCTTACAATAAACGACCTGTTTTTAGCCTCAACCATGTTGAAATATAAAAACCTTAAATAAATCATAAAATAATATGCGTATAATTTACGTTCATGAAAAGCAGCCATAAATGCTTCTTTATTCCAACTGGTCGAGATTGTGGTATATTTTATAGCTTCACTTAATTAAATCGTACTTTTTTGATATGCCTGCACTTAGTGCGGACATTAATGAACAAAGGTACATAAAATACTGTGATGTTTATGAAATCTGTCAAGAAGGCTATACAGCTACGCGACTACCCGTAACATGAATTAGCACACCTAATCAAAAAGTTGTCACACACACGAAAACAATTTCCCAAGTGTTTTAATTGTTTGTCAAATTCGGCGTTTTCAAAGAACAACATGATGAGTTCGTGTCCTTAAGCTTCACACGCATATCCACCATCAGGCACCGTTCATAAATAAAGCGCCGTAAAAAGGATGACTTAATGGCATTAGCGGCATTTTTTCTTAAATTTATCGACGCTAACCTCCGCCACTGTCTGGACTCTCCAGCGACACTAATCATTTTACGTAAAATACGTGTATTGACAGCAAAATCATCGAATGTTTAGGAAGCTGCACACGCATCTACATTGCGGGATTTCTGCCAGGAAGAGCGCCGGTTCTCACGGTCTTGCTATAAACACGTGCATGGCAGCCTCCTATGATCGAGAAACGCGAAAAATATTTGCGTTCCGACAAGCCACTAAGTCATCAACACTGCTGGTTCTTCGATCTTCGCTTACTCTTCGGTTTACGGTCTGCTAATCTATAGGGTAAGTCAAGTCGAGGAGATAAAAAGAACTGCATAATGGGCAGAAAATTAAAATTTTGTTTTGAGGGAATGAAGGACAATAAAAAAATCTTTTTTGTAATTTGCCTCCACTTTGTTTCTCTAATAAATAAATTGAATAACGCGACGTCATCATGTGCGATGTCAAAAGGTGACTATATCAAATTATAACTTTTAAAATTAAGACATTACCAAAGGTCACAACAATCCTTAAAGTAAAAAATTTTGTTTAAAAACTGTATAAAGAGGGCAAATCGCAAAAAATAGTAAAAAAAAAACTAGTTTAATAAGACCTTGAAGTATTTATTCTACGCTATGCCACTCCTTTCTCCTTTCTTCCTTTCTCATTATTTTTACGGAGATGAGGGTTTCTCTCTCTCTTTTGATGATAGAAATTTTGCTTAATGCAAGTCGTTTTCTGAAGAATCTTGTACTCATTCCGGTAAAATTTATATTTCAGACTTTACTTATAACAGGAGGTGTATGAAACCTACCTAGGCATGAAAACAAAGTCGACAAGTAGTTTCAAGTTTTACGAATCATCATTGTGATGTGATATTGTAATGTTGATACGAGTTACTTAAATTGTTAGCACAGATGCACAGAAGCCTTCAAAACTTGGTTAAATTGACAAACAAAACGGGAAATGGTTCAAAAATGATTAAGTCGTGAATGAAAAATTGCTGCCTACTTACTGTATCTTCATCTATTCATCACCTGCATCTGTATGTCCCATAAATTTGTAAAATAACATATGGTTCTAAAGATTTGGGATTTTTTTAGATGGTTTTTATTTATACCAAATGGTGTTTAAACCGATTGTTGCTGGAAGTAAAATATGACAATTAACTTGTTTATGTTATGCCAGTTTAGTTGTTTCGTTCGGGTTTTTGAAAATACTTCATACGCTAGACATTCGTTAAGGCATTTACAATCTAGTTGCCGAATGCCTAAACGTGAAATTGCTGCAATTTATAGAGAATAAAATATTTCTGTAACAACAATTTATCGGACCATAAAAGAATGTGAAGAGGGTATACCCCGTGTTAATGTGTCCAAAAGTCCTCGACCCAGAATTTTGAGGAAACAAAGAATGAATGAAGCCATTTCACTACAAAAATTAGGTCGAAGATTTGCTGTTTTAAAGACCATTTATATTCAAAGATATCTTTCCAAACTCAATGAAGTGTTAAATACACGTCATGCCAATGATGATGTAATGTTTTGGTCTAATCTGCCTTCATTCCACAATGGTCGAGAAGCTACAAAATAGCAAGCAAAACAATGTAAATTTTGTACCCAAAATAGACAATCCTCCCAATGTACCTCAGGCTCAATTGACTGAAGAGTTTTGGACAATATTGTACAGAAAAGTGTATAACAAGAGATAGGATAATAATAAAAAATTGCGACGTCGATCTTTTTTAAAGCTTAGAAAAATCAATCCTGCTCTTGCCCAAAGGAGTATGGGACAAATCAGAAGAAAATTGAGAGCCATTGAAGATAATTATTCACTATCAGTAATTTGATTATGGATTATTTATTGTTGTTTATATTATTAGTTGTTTATACATTTAGTTTAAAAAATAAACAATCTAAAAAAATTCACAAAACTTTCGGACCATACGTTAATTACAACAATAATTATAAAAAAGAAAAAAAAACAAGAAAAATAGAAACAACCAATATGGAGCGTTACGTTATGTTTCATGTTAGATAAAAAGAAAAACTTTGAATGAAAGTAAAAACATACCCGTCAAAAATAAAAGAATTAAAAAAGTCTCCAAATTTCTGCCTCATCACAAAAAAATTTGATAAAGTGAAGGTACATACAACATAAAATACTGTGAACCAAATTACAGGTCAAATTAACTCAAAATTTAAGCGTTCCTTGAAAAAAACCTATTATACCTACAGTATGTCCCCGGATTGAGTTTACAAGAGGAAAAAAAATAGCTTTGATTTTACGCCAAAACTGCAAAGAAAAAACATTTTTGCTTTACCTGAAATGAGCAAATCTGTAATTAAAACTTCATTATTCTTACTCAGTAGAAAGAAGAGATCATTTTTCTCTTGATTTTGGACTTGGAATAATTTTTCTCTGCTTTTTAAGTCCTATCACATTGGTTTTATTATTTTGACAATAAATGAATTTACGCAAGTTAAATAACAAAAATGCTTTTGAAAAACAATTTTAATAAATAGCAACTCAAAGAAACAGCTTTAAGGTAAAAACCAAAGTCATTTTTAACAAGAACTATCATTATTTAATTAATAAATTAATTGTCAGAGTGACATACAGTTGTCAAATAAATAAAACCGCCAATGTGATAGGACTTAAAAAGCAGAAAAAAAATATTCTAAGTCCAAAATCAACAGCTGTTTTCGGGAGCGTATACAAAAAATAGCTATTTGTAAAATAAAAGTCCAAAATCAAGAGAAAAATTAACTTTTCTTTTCACAGAATCAGAATAATAAAATTTTAATTACAGATTTGCTCGTTTCAGGTGAAGCAAACAATGTTTCTCCTTTGCAATGTTGGTGTAAAATAAAAGTTAAAAAAAAAATTCCTTTTGTAAACCCAGTCCGGGGGCATACTGTAGGTATAATTATTTTTAATTGTGAAAAAATTTTAAATCTGTCGTTGCTCCAAATGGTATCACAAACTATTGGTGAGATTTACAAAAACATGGCAATATTTTTCATGGCCTGTATTGAGGAAAGAGTTTTTAATGCAGATATATCTATGAACGTAACTAACTAACAAAGAGTACTTATACTTTGTTATTTTCAAAAGGCATTTGGTCTTCTTTTTAGACCTGGTGATGTAGAATAACAATATAAGAAAGTTTCTTGATAGATAAAAATGTACATATGGTCAAATAATAAAAATTAAGAAATATTTGGAAAAGAGTGTACAGAATAGGAATCGCGCAGAAAAGCAAAGTGTAAAAGGCTCCTTGTAGAAGTTTGAATATCGAGTAAAGATTGATTGTGTGAGGAAGTGAAAGACCTCTTAAATATTGCAAAGCTTTGATCTTTGTAAAACAAAAAAAAAATTAAAAAAATAATATTTTTGTTATAATAATTATAACACCAAATTGTCTAGACCCAATTCACCATGTCAATGAAGTCTCCAAGCAGAAATTAAATAAATTTTTGTATTGTAAAATAAATAAAAAGTTCTTCCTAAAATCTCTAAAACGAAGTCCAGTGTGTATTCGTTTACATGTTTGAAACAAATGTACAATTAAATCTGATTAAGAACCCGACGTTTACTTGACTTAAAGCAATTAGCAATTGCAAACATGCAGTAGGATTTTTTCGTGAAGAATTGTGAGATCAGAAAGGTTTCTTTAATTAACCTTCACTTAGTAACGGTAATTTTACACCTGCATTGGTGTTGTATCTTGACAAAAAGAGCGGGGAAGCAACAACGTTTTTCCCACCGTCTCTTATCGGCAAACAAAGCTGTCAAAACAGTGAGTTTTCACGAAAGTCGCCGTTGCAAATTCGATTAGTCGAAGCGAATGTCACGACATGGAGATGTGCAAATGTACATTCAATTCGTTTTAAGTGCGAACTATGAGACAACAAACACACCATGGGAGTATCGCACCCGCTCTCTATAAGCACGTCGAGCAGGTGTTGTACATGTCAGATCCAGCGATAATTTGAAATACGAACTCGGAAATGTGCACTCGAGCTGTTTTCTTGAATTAATTTTCCATTCACTGGAACACGATGCTGATACAATGGCATTTAGGTGCCGATTTATTTGCATCCAATACCGTTAACAAAACTTTGTCCATAGCTAATTAATTTAATTTTATTAATTGGACTTTTAAAAACCCTAAACCAAAAGTAGCACGAACAAGTTTGAAAATGTAATCTCAAAAATTTAATTAGGTATTCTGGTACACAGATTTTCTTGCGTTATTATGTCAGGGAAAATAAAATAACACAAAAATGCTTTAGGCATTTTTATTTAATTTTGGTGTCTAATTGTGGTCATCGATGGTTTTAAAGCCGTTGTTCAAATTTCGGTCTCTGATAACCTTAAGGTACAATTTTTGTATCGCTGGAGGTACCTTCTTTATCTTTGCTATTTCAGCTAAGTTATCGAAATAACTTCCTTGTGCTCCACCGAGTTCATGGTATTTTGAACTAGGTGCACCAGGTTTACGCTTTTCTTCTTCGAGTAAGTTCTTAAGCATATCTTCTTTTTTTGGTAGTTTGAAATGACCAGTCAGTGTCGCTAAAAAAAATCTAACCTAAAAAAGGACTAATGCTTAACGTGGAGCATAATAATCTTCAAAAGAAAGCAGTTGCTTTAGATTTATTGTTTCATGTTTTATATGTGTTCTTCTTTACCTGGATATCAAACAATGGGCAAGGCGCCGCTTTAAGTGGAATCCCAATAAAAGCTAACGTAGGATTTTCTATACTAATAATTTGTTTATACAACGGATGGACGTAATTGTTGATAATTTTGACTCCGCAGGAGCTGGATAAAAAAGGAAAATTGTAATTATAACCAGTGCAGAATAAAACTTCATCAATTTCCTCGCACGTGTCATCCTCAAAAATTGCCCTGTTATCTAAAAATTCTTTTACTAAGCACTTCTGATAGAAGGTATCAGGAACTGATAGAACACTTTTCGCTCTATGACTCAGGAATACCTACAACAAAAGTGAATACCAAAGTTTCTTCGTCACCTTATTGACAAACCTTTGAAGCCACGTTCGCAATTTGTCGCGAAATGTCTAATCCTGAAGGACCTGCACCTACAATCAACACTCTTTTGTTGTTATAAGGTTCAGGTGATCTGTATTCATGACTGTGTATAATTCTTCCTAAAAAACTTTTTACTCCTGGAATATCGGGAATGAAGGGATCACTGTAGTGACCATTGCAAATAATAACTGCATCGTAATGCTCTGTTTTTTCCTCTCTTATTTTAACATCTTCGTAATGAACAGACCATAAAAAATTTTGACGTTCAACGCAGATCACGCGTTTAAAGTACTGAAATTTTTTTATTTATTAATCATATATTATTATTAATTGAAGTTCCCAATACTTTGATATGAGGATTGATGTGGAATTTATCCGAATAACTTCTAATGTAATCTAGAACTTCTTCTTGTAGTAAATAAGATCGATTTTGTTTTGGATACGGGAAATCCTCAAAGGCCATCAGTTCATTCGGCAAGTTCGTTCTGTTGATAAATAAGTGTGACCTTTGTATGCTTAAAGATGTAAAAAAACTGACCTTAGACCTTTGTACATAGAAGTATGAATTGGAACGCCGTTTTCATCGCAACCAACTAGATCTGTATAGATCCACGTTCCTCCCAAATTACCAGTTTGTTCAAGAATATCAAAAGCAATGTTTTCTTTTAAACAGTGTCTTCCAGCGCACAACCCTGCCTTTCCTGCACCGATAATAGCAACTTTCATTGTGCTTATAAAAAACAATTATGAAAACAAAGTACTTACTGTATAATTTAACATACCTACAGAAGGTTATTTTTAATCACACATATTATTTGATAGCCATTTTTAGCCAAAAGTAATTATGCACCTTGATGTCAAGTTAAAAAGTTTGCTACATATCTTTAAATTTTTTACAAGCACAATCATCTATATTCTTTATACTAGCCAAAAATTACAAGAAATAAATGTATTTGTTGTTTCCTTAAATCGTTATAGCCAACGTTGCTGAAAATAAACAAAATGTATTACACCACAATTAAAATTCAATATCAGTACCCAAAGTTGGTAAAACTAGATATCTATTATAAAAAATGCTGCAAAATTCAAATCGTGAGAAAACAAACTACGTATCGTACTAATATAGTAGATTACATACCCAGATGAGAGGTGCTTCATTACCAAATTAGCAATAAGCCGAGGTACAATGAAGCAACGACCATCAAGGTTTGTATACTATTTTATTCACAATTATCTTCAAAGAACAGAAAGCCAATAAAAAAATATCAAATTTCGAAAAACATAACATGACAATTCAATTTGGGAAGTAATCACTTCCCAACCTGAACCTCATATTTCACATCAATTGTTAAAAGAAGTCGAAATGTCATACTTTCAAACTTTTTACATGCAAGATAATTTGATAATTATTTTATAATTATAATTATGAATAAAAGCATTTTAATTGATGATATGTCAAAAGGTAAGAAAATGGTGACTCACTTTTCACAAATGAGCAGATCTTTCATAGTTATTACGACTAAGTTAAAAATACATAGTGTTTAAAAAGTCCAACAAACTTGCAAGCAAATATACCAAAAATTGTAATCTCCTTCAAACTATGTCAGATGTTTTCTATTAAAGAAAAATTAAATAAATATAATAAAAATAAAAAAAATGCATCAAAATATTTATATCAAATAGCATATTATCGTGCTGCTAGTTTTCTTTCTCTATAGTTATTATTTACAATAAATGCAACAGAAAAGCATTAGAATTTCACATACCTGTAGAAAAACATCAGCCTTTAATTTCTCAATACATTGCAATTAACTACTGCCCTTACAGTCTTTTTACACACATTTCCACACATTGTTGTGTTCAGTGTTGTCAAGTAGAATATAAACATCAAATTAGTTTTAATCCAAAGGCAACGAAAAATATAAATTTAAAATTACATCCTTGAATGTTCAATTACCTATTGTTACAATATTTAAAAAAAAATAAATAAAGGGCGGTGTTTTTTTAAGTGCTTGAGAACTTAAAAATAGATAAATCGAGAGAAGGGCAAAAATAGATTGAAATAGGACATTAAAAAATTAATAAAACTTTTTTTTTTACTTTTTTATTAAAGTAAATTCAATGCCGCCGTTTATGGTTTGAAAAAGATTTCCGGCATGTGACCCTTACGTATAATCGTTCGTTACGAAGCGCACCACTTTTCCAATAATTCTGGCCTTATGTCTCGGTAAATATTGACCTCCAACGCTTCCTGAGTTGTTGATTTGTTAGCATAAACCATGCATTTATTAACAAACCCCAAAGGAAGTAGTCTGGAGGCGTAAAATCACACGATCTTGGAGGACAAGTGATAGGACCATTTCCCGAATAATGTTGTCACTAAATTGGGGTTTTTTGGCTGTAAGTCGGCGCATTTTTGGAAACCAAAATGTATTGAACAAGTGTCAATATCGCACACAATTAATGATAACGGCGCTTCTTCCTCATTTCGAAAGAATTTTCTTTGTGCAAGTGCAATTTTCACTTACAGAAGCGGTACGCACATTTCTTTGTCTTCTTGGTGGTCTTACATCATGCAATGAAAAAATGATACAAACATTATCCATCACCGCACGAATAGTCTCCTCAGAGGTAGATTATGTCGACCATAAAATGGACGAAAAGCTCTATAAGTTTCGCGAACAAAACATTGATTTTGAAAATAAATTTCTACAATTTAAGGTAGAGTTGTTCGCGGGTTAATCTATCCAGGCAAACCTTTCTTAACACAAATATCGAAGAACTGTTACTTTTACAATATTTATTATTTATAAACATTAAATTTGCAGTTTTTTACGTAGGTACATTAGATACTCATTAATACTAATTTATATTGTATTATACAGGGTGATTCACGAGGAATAATGAGCCTGACCAAATTCTCGATGCAACCAACATTACATTTGTCGCAAAGCAACTTGTGAAAAGTAATGGTGGTTGCATCGAGAATTTGGTCAGGCTCATTATTCCTCGTGAATCACCTTGTTTTATATCAGATCACATACTGATTTATTAAAAATCCTTGAAAGGGAGTAATTGGGTAGTCCCCGAGAGTACCTACTGAAAAAATGCTTAAAAAGTGTTATCTGTCAAAAAATTGTGACATTTATTTTTTGGCATTTGACATTTTCTGTTTATTTCATGATACTGATGATCTTGTGTATGTTTTTCATAATTATTTAGTAAAGGTACAAATATTTTGCCAATAAAAGCAAAAACAAATACCACTAAACAGAGTTACAATTTAGAATACAGCTTCTGTGTTTCCTCTTCTAATAGCCTTTAGCAAAAAAACTTGGAAAACTATTTTTCCAACAGAAATAAATAGAGTCAAGGTGCAAAATTTAAACTCTCATAACATCGAAATTTTTTTGGATAGATTTTTGCAAAACATTTTTCTTGTTGTCTAGGACACCGTCAGATGATACAGTGTCACGGAGGTGCGCGACTTTCCAAACATCTTGTATTTATCTGTTCTCACTATTTTCGATGGTGTTTAAGTAAGATAATAAGTAATAACTTGAATGTCCCGCTTAAGTCAATTTTGGTTGCATATTCCATAACTTGTAAAAAATTTAGTCTGCGTTTTGTTTTCTTTGAAAGGGGAAACTAAACTAAGTAATTTATTATAATTTCACAGTATCAAGGAATAACTAGGTAAGATTAATTATAAGTATTATTAAAATGACCTTTCTAAAGTTCTTATTGATCCATTTGTCGCTACTATCTTGAACTTAATGAATTGAAATTTTTGAATATACCAGGGATATATTAATCGAAGAACTTAGTTTTCTCTTATCCATATTATCTATTACATACGAGTATTTCAGAAAATATTTATATTTAGATGTAGGTAATACATATTCGATGTTTAATATAGACAACCAGTCATACAGTAAAAAATCGAATCCTGAACTGTTGAAGTTTCTTTTACTTGAAGAATGTAATTATTGTACAGCAATTAATTTGTATTATTTCCAATAGTGGATCTCCACAGGAAAAGATCAATTTAAACTAATTAACATCTGATCTGGTTTTTTGGTACTTATACAAATAACAATTTATTTACATGCAAATTATCTTTGAAAGAAAAATTTTCAATACGATTTTTGAGAATAAGTACTATTCTGTTAAATTTATTTTGTAGAACACTGGTTCTATTTAAGCGGCCTTTCTTTAATCCACTTTATAATATTGCTACCTACATATTTATTCTATTGTATTGTGAAATAATGAAACATTTTGCTTTATTGTACATACTGTAGGAATTTTCCTTGTTTTATTTATTACATAGATGTTATAACATCTATTTACAAGGATTAAATCTTTGTACCGAAATTTATTTATCCAGTTTAATTGTACAAGTAGGTACCATCGATGTAACAGTTTGTTTTTACTTCATTTATTATTTCAAAAAAAGCTAAAGGCATTGTTTTACATAAAAAATCAAATTACAGTAATAAATAAGGAACTTTATCAACAATTTTATCTTCATAACATGTGTAGAAACAGAAAATTTTCAATGTTAAAACTGTCGTTTTATTTCTTTCTTGCTTCATTAATATAAATATTTTGAAAAGTATTTTATCAATGGAATGTGGATATGAATTTTAGCCTTCAATTAAAGTTTTATAAATATATATATTCCAGAAAAAGTGCAGTTTGTTTAAATATTTACTTAAGGTTATGCAAAAAAGTTTTATACGAGTATAGCCTCCGATAAGAAGTGAAAAACAAATTCAAGGGAATTTTATCTACTGGAAATAAAGTCATAATTATTATAACAATATATCAAACCATTCAGAAGTATGCCTATATGATACGACTACTTAAACTTATCATAATTTAAGTTATTTTTATTACTCTGCAATGCTAATAGTTAAAAAATACATATGGCTTCTTTCAAGAAACATTTTTTCTCCCAATTACAAAAAATCTCTAACAGAAAGTAAGTTTTTCCATCCTAATTTCAGAAAAAAAGTGGACGTAAAAATTACCTCCCCCATAGAAACGAAAAAACATGCTGCTAGTTTTAATGGCGAAACTGGTATATAAAGAGAAATTATTAGTTTTGAAGTTTTTCTTGCTGGATCGTAGGCAAAATTATATGTATTATACTGAAGGAAAGTGTCTTTTCTTCCCTGCCAAGTCTCGGGAACCTTTGTGAGGAAAAGATACATTTTCCTCTATTGTATACAAATATCTATAGCTTTGGTTAACATTTTTTGAAAAATGTTCCAATTGAGCCATACAAATTATAACATTACTAATATTATTCTTTAATTTATTGTATATACAGGGTGATTCTTAAATAGACCGACAAAATTTTAACACAGCTTCCTAAGGATAAATGGAGACAAACTGTACCCTTTTTAAGTTTATACCTTTTAGAGGCAAAACCCCCTTGATCCGTGCCACTTACGGCGTCTATAAATTGTTGCAATGATCAAGTACATTTTCATCACGTTAATAATGGTTTCCACTACCTGTGCTAACACATCAGTGGCATACGCTTTAATTCGAAAATAACTTTTAAATAAATTTTATCTGAAGAACGTTTAAACAAAGAATTTTTTAAATATTTTTTCCAGCATGTTCTCATTTGATACTACCAAGGATAAAATTTTGTCGGTCTATTTAAGAATCAGCCTGTCTATACAATCATATGATTGCGATTACTTTGGGATTTGGGACCTTCTTTTTAAAATATTTGATTTATAACTATAATGAGCTATACAAAAAAAAAATCAATAATGACGTTAATGGTCTCTTACTGTTTACAATTTAAGTTGCTTAACACATGTTATTATTATTTATTACTTACACATCAACACATCTAACGCACAAAGAGACGTAAAAATGTTTTGGTATAATATTGATTTTGTTTCAAATAATAACTTCGGGAATATTCTCTACGCATTTTTCAATGATTTTTGTTTATTTTTAGCAAGAAAAAGTGGGTCTTTTAATCTCCCCTATAATGATTTCGCAAGTTCATAAATAATTTATTTATTACAATGTTTTTGCAAGTATTTTTATCACTTTTAATAAATGTTTTTGCGATAATCGTTAAAACAGTATAGCGAATTCTTTTCCTTCTCATCACTTTTTGCACATATCATCTAAGTAATGGCTTCTGGCCAAAGTTTGAGATGATAAAAAATAAGCTGAGACGAAGTAATTCGCCTGCCAGACTTGCTTCCATTGTGGCACAAAAATAAATTTTGTTATCATAACATTTAATGCAGACAGAGATAACAAACTGTATACACTCATTAGTCATTACACAGTTGAGCCGATATTGATTAAAAAAATTATAGTACAATGAAAATTGCTATTATTGGTGCCGGGGGGGCAGGTTTGTGTGCTGGGAGACACTGTTTGAAAGAAGATATCGCATTTGATATTTTTGAACAAACTGGGAATTTGGGAGGAACCTGGAACTATACAGATCTAGTTGGTTGCGATGAAAACGGCGTTCCAATTCATACTTCCATGTACAAAGGTCTAAGGTCAGTTTTTTACATCTTTAAACATACAAAGGTCACACTTATTTATCAACAGAACGAACTTGCCGAAAGAACTGATGGCCTTTGAGGATTTCTCGTATCCAAAACAAAATCGATCTTATTTACTACAAGAAGAAGTTCTAGATTACATTAGAAGTTATTCGGATAAATTCCACATCAATCCTCATATCAAAGTATTGCGAACTTCAAAAGGAATGATTAATAAATAAAAAAATTTCAGTACTTTAAACGCGTGATCTGGATTGAACGTCAAAATTTTTTATGGTCTGTTCATTACGAAGATGTTAAAATGAGAGAGAAAAAGACAGAGCATTACGATGCAGTTATTATTTGCAATGGTCACTACAGTGATCCCTTCATTCCCGATATTCCAGGAGTAAAATGTTTTTTAGGAAGAATTAAACACAGTCATGAATACAGATCACCTGAACCTTATAACAACAAAAGAGTGTTGATTGTAGGTTCAGGTCCTTCAGGATTAGACATTTCGCGACAAATTGCGAACGTGGCTTCGAAGGTCTGTCAATAAACTGAATAAGCTGCTGAAAATGGAAACGTTATTAATCACTTTTGTTGTAGGTATTTCTGAGTCATAGATCTAAAGATGCTTTACCAACTGATGATACTTTGCATCAGAAGTGCTTAATAAAAGAATTTCTTGAAAACAGGGCAATTTTTGAGGATGGCACGTGCGAAGAAATTGATGAGGTTTTATTTTGCACTGGTTTTAATTACGAGTTTCCTTTTTTATCCACCTGCTGTGGAGTCAAAGTTACCGACAATTACGTCCATCCATTGTATAAACAAATTATTAGTATAGAAAATCCCACGTTGGCTTTTATTGGAATTCCATTCAAAACATGTCCTTTTCCTTTGTTTGATATACAGGTAAGGAAATAGCCATTTTTATACGTTATTTATTCCATACATGTTAGTAACTTTGTTTAATAAGTAATAACCCTCATCCAGGTTCGATTTTTTTTGGCGACACTTACTGGTCATTTCAAGTTACCAAAAAAACAAGATATGTTAAAAGAATTAGCTGAGGAAGAAAAACGGAAATCTGGTGTACCTAAGTCAAAATACCATCAGCTCGGTGGAGCCCAAGGAAGCTATTTCGATAACTTGGCTGAAACAGCAAAGATAAAAAAGGTACCTCAAGTGATACAAAAATTGTACCTCAGAATTATCATGAACCGTAATTTGAACGACTGTTTTAAAATCATTGATGATGATAATTGGATACAAATATAATGGAAATGTTTTGATTTTTTTCCTTATATTGGTAATAAGTTGTACCTACAACTAAAAAAATAAATCTTATTTTTGCTGTTAACACAGAAGTCTCATTAGAATAAATCCTAGAATCTTGTCGTAGTACTCAATATACATAAATGCTTAAAAAAAAAAACTTAAATTTTCTATACGAGCAAAAGAACCCCTTTATCTTAGTACTACTCGACGATTCTACGGTTCACCAAGTTGAAAAATTTCGACATGTTATCGAAAAATGTGATTTCCAAGAATGGAGAAACCACTCTACAGACTGTAGACTTCAACACCCAGAAATTGATAGGTTTTCCTAAAAACAACTACGTTGGCGGAAATTTTATTAATATTAACTAGAATTTCTAGAATGGTGCTAGAGGAACATTATGCCTTTTTGTCAAGAGGATTGGATACAGGATGCTTCATCTTTTAATAAAAAACAACAAGAATTAAGAAATGCTCATATTTTATTCATATTAATTACAGTAGAGTCTTACTAATCCCGACTTGATGGCACCGGACTTTGTCCGGATCAACGAAAGTCCGGATTAACCAGAATGAGTTTTAAAATGTCTGTAAAATGAGTTTATGTCGGATAAAACAATTAAAATTGGTCCCTTTCGGTCCGGATTAGTGAGGTTCGAATTATCGAAACTACTGTATTTTACTACAGTTTCATTATTTTCACATTATTGGATATAGCGTTCGGTAACAAATGAATTGTTATTAAGAATTCTGTACTTGTATTTTCTAAAATTTTTGAGATCTTTGTAAAAACTACTATCACTTTCACTCCAAATTTTACAAATAACAGGCAGTATTGGAGTAATTTTCGCAGTGCTTGCTAACTCTTCAAAATATGTTTGTTGTTCATGACCCAACAAATGCATTTGCTTTTCAGAATAGCCTTTATTTTTTCTCTTAATTATGTCTTCTTCGGTGTCTTTATACATCAGTTCTTTGGTTGGCAGTGACATTGAACCATTGAGGTACTGACAGTAAAAGCGAGCCTAGAATCATACTTTAACATTAATAAAATGTAAAAAGTTATAAAATTGAAGAGACCTGGATGTCAAACATTTGGAAGGCACAAACATAATATGGTATACCGATAAAACACATGGTAGGTTTTTCGATATGTATCATGTGTTTATAAAGCGGCCTAACATGGAAATCTTCTACAGACACTCCACAGTCATCATGGAGAAATGGAAAATTGTATCTGTATCCCGTACAGTATATAATCGTGTCAAAAGAACAACAAGAGCCGTCAATAAATTCAACTTCCTCTTTGTCTTTAATACAAAGGACTTGGGGTTTTTTGACCACGTTGGAGGGATATTCACCCTTTACTTCTTTCTTAGTCATGTCATAACTGATGACAACTTGTTGAGCAATTTCTGAAACTTGAAAAGCGACGTCTAAACCCGAAGGTCCAGCACCAATTACCAAAACTCTTTGATTTTTAAATGGTTCGTTCGATCTGTACTGGTGACTGTGCATAACGTGACCTTTGAATTTTTCTTGACCCGCCAAAGTGGGATTGATTGGAGTATTATAATGTCCGTTACAGATCATTACCACATCATAAATATTTGTAATCTCTGTTTTCGTAATTTTATTTTTTGCTTTAATTAGCCATTTGTCCGCATTTGGGCGAACTTCAGTAACAATATGATTGAACTACAAGTTACGAAATGTAACTCTTGATTACGTTATTGATAAAAAAAAAACTTACTTTTATTAATGGTTTTAAGTTGAAGTGGTCGGCATAGAGGTTCAAAAAATGTAAAATGGTCGCTTGATCTAAAAACGAACCATCTTGCTCAGGAATTGGAAAATCGGGGAAACCCATTATCTCTTTTGGCAGATTTGCCCTAAAACCGCGAAACGTAGATTTTTAAATTCTCTGTGTTATCTTATGTTGATTATTGTTGACAAATAAGTGAAAGTTCAGCGATTATCTCGGTCCAAAGAAGTGATCAACTGTTATTAAAAACTTTTTGTTACTGTACCTTAGGCCCTTGTACATTGCAGTATGTACCGGATATCCCAAACTGTCTTTTTCTATATCGTCGGTGTACACCCAGGTGCCACCTACCTCAGGTGCCATTTCCAGTACCTCACATTCTATTCCTTGAGCTGAGACGTGTCTTGCAGAGGCCAAACCAGCAGCACCAGCACCAATAATAGCAACACGCATTTTTGAGATATTTTTAAATGTTTAGTATATCTGAAATGTACGTTCAAAGTGAACGATTAGAGATACAAACTGTGGTTCACTAAGTTTTAACTATCCGTCTTTATCTTTAAAAGTATTGTGTCCATTGTTGAGTCTTTCTGTTTTCAAGTATCTGACACAATTTGAATAACATAATTTTTGATTTATCTAGTAAAGTCAAATAAAGATTGTTAACATATGCTTTATCTCATTTGTCTACAAACACCACAATTATGTAATTTTGTTACTATGCTATCGAATGGATATAATGAAGTCAGAACAGAATGTTAAATTAATAGGAGTAACACTAAAGTTATGCCTTCTTTTCAGGAAAATATTTCTGATACGTGACAATATTTGCCAACATACTCTAAAAGAACTATAAAAAAACTAAAAGTAATTTGCCTACCTTGTCATTCACTTTTTACAAATTTAAAAAAAATTAAAATTGATTTTTGCATTCGAGAACTATGCAACTAACATTACACAACATGCACACTTTACGGACAATCTTATGAACTTTACGGACGATTTCATTTGATGAGATATGAGTTCGAAGAAGTAAATACTACTTTACGGACTATTTTGGGTTACTTTTCGGAACAAGATTCTCTTCAGAAACGAATTCAGAAAATAAGTCGTTTTTTGGGAATCATTTTATAAAACGCTAATTACAATAATATAACAAGTCTTGTATGAAATTGTGAAGTACATTGCAAAATAGATGAGCCCTGAGGATATCACAAGTTTTCACATAGAGTTTTCGGCTAAAATTTTCGATCGCATTGTGAAAACTTTGCATTTATTCATTAATATAGAATTTGTTCAATCGTTTACAAAACGATTGAATTTGTAATTAGCCTAGGACATATACAATATTTACACGTCGCATGCGTGGAATATACAGGTTGTTCCATTTTTATTGTTACAAATTTAACCCGGTGATAGAATATTCAATTTTAAGATAAAAGTTTCCTATACATATACATATATCAAAAAATTTTATATAAGGGAGCCACATCCCCTGAAAGGGGTGCATCTTTTAACAGATTTTTTCCAATATTTCAGAAACCATCGTGGATAAAATTACAAAATTTGGTACAACTGATAACCTTTAGGTATACACCCAAATGAATTCAAAGATAAAATGTCGAAATTTTTACTCAGGGGCGTCCTAAACTGGGAGGTTTAGGGTAAAAAGTACCCTAACTATTTTGGCGGTTGGTTTTTGTCACTTTCAGCCACAAAATCCTAAATTTCATAGTTTTTCATTAAAAAGAGGCCTCTTGCGTTTTTTCAATAAAACTTACCGTTTTCGAGTAAAATCAGTTTACAATTTGTCTTACAGACCATAAAGAAAATAAAAATTAAAAATTATATTTGTATCACCGTGTAAGAGACCCGTGATAAAAATTTCGACAACTGATCTTTAAATTCGTACAGGTGTTTAAAAGTAGTCAGCTGTACCTACTCTTGTAATTTTATCTATTCTGCAACAGTGGGAAAACTCCATTAAAAATGCATTTCTTTCAGGGGGTGTACCTGGCTTACGTAACATTTTTTGATACATGTTCATAGGAAACTTTTGTCTTAAAATTGAATATTCTATTACCTGTTTAAGTTTGTAACAATAAAAAAGGAACACCTTGTATATATAACTTTTTGAACTTATCATTTAATTATTTGATCCGGCAAAAGAAGAAGAATCCATTTTACAGACATAATTTTCTGACAAATAATTTCCACAACCTTTACACTGCACTGATGTTGATGATTTTTATTATTATTATTTATTTTCATTATTATTTTTAGCAAATTAATCTTTTTTACCGCCTTTTTTTAGAATTATTAGCAGATTCCAAAACTCTATTTATTCGAAAAACATTTTCGGGCAGTTATTAAAATAAGGAATTGAATGAATTATACCTACTTACCATTAAAAATAAGAGTAAGAGTTTCTGATCTGAATTTAGGGACTAGGTATAAAAAAAGCCCCGTTTTATGTTCTCAACAGAATTGAGCTTAATTTAAATGTTTTGAACTAATCAAATTTGTTTTCTATTTAAGTGAGCTTAGCAATGCTAAGCTGGACTTGACAATAAAACTTAAATTTCCCTGTACAAGTATACATACTAGAACAAAGGTTACTTTAGAAATAATAAAAATAATGAAGAATACTCAATGCCAATAGGCGACAGCGCTGATAGTGGTCATTTACCTTATTTGTTCGTTCTATAAAAGTAGATGAATCGTTTGAACATGACTGAGATGGCATTAATTATTTATGTAAAACAACTTTGTAATCGTCAGTTAATCCAGAAATTTGCATTTTACTAAAGAGTTTAAGGTCAGTCTTATATGTATATTGTACGGTCGTGCAATGTACTACAATGATCATTCTAAATTTTGAAATTGAAAATTGGTTAATAAAAATTAAAACATCATTTTTTATTACAATTAGAATGTTAAATTTCTTACATAGAAAAACGTTAGTTTGTATTTTGACTTTTCTGTGGTAATTTGTGTAATGTAATGGACAGTAATGTATCGCCATTCACTTCCGTTAGCCTGTTTATTGAATGAAAAGAAAAAAAATATTTCCAATGACCCGTAATAATCAGTGTGGAGTTAATGATTTTAAATTGTTTATAGTTTCTTGCACTGGATATTTCTGGAACTGAAATTTCGTCAAGACGTAGAATTTTATTAATAAACAAACTATCGGACAATTTTTTCCACTTGTCTGATTTAGAAAGAGTATTCTTTCTCCATTGCATTTCCAAAAAAAGAACTAATCGTCCCTAAAAGCGTCAAACAAAGCAAGATCATTTTGTCAAAATAATCCCAAAAATTCTGTGATTAAAAATTACAGTCATGCACAAAATCAAAATTAATTTCACCAAATCTACGAGTCCTACAAGATACGATGTACTAACTACCTTTAGTATTATTATTTAAATAAAACCTTAATGAAAACGTAACAAAATGCTTAGACAATAAAGCACTAACAGTGATGAATATCATGGTATAATTTTTATTTGACCTGAGTAATGGTAGAAAAATAATTATTCATTATACAAGACGATAAAGAAATTGTTTATCTACGAGTGAAAAGGTTAAGTTTACGAGTGACGAAGTCACGACTGGACTTTTTTCACGAGTAGTTCTAAACAATCTTTATCGTCATGTATAATATTTCGCTTTATTTTGTACTCACCTACCAGAATTTCTTGAATATAAACAGTAGATAAAAATTACTTTATTTCACTAGACCATTAAAGACTACTTACTGTATCTACTAAAATTAGTTAATAAAATCACTCTTTAACATTGAGTACAAAATAATGTAATAATTATGTTATTTTAGTCCCTCATGCTAATTTTAATAGCCGATATTTACACACTATTTTTTTTCTAATACCATTAAAAACAATTGTTGTCAATACAATAACAATAGTGCCAATAAAAATGAGTACGTGCTCTTTTAAAATAACTTTAAAAATTTTCAAAAATTTAATTATCAATATAGACGTTGGTTGTAGCTTGTAGCTATAAATAAAGATAAATTATTGTTCTCACTATATCCGTTAAGTAGGTATAAGTAACATAATACAGATTATAAGGACGTATTAATAAAAATATGCCTACTGATGCATTTAATAAATAGGTTTATAAATTTTATATCTCTCGATCCAAAAGAGTTTGTTATGTTTTGTAAATCTAAAGTCAATTACATCATCCTATCGCTTACGGAAACCCACCTTCCAGTTTCATCAGACATAAAAGTATCGTAAATTAAAAATTACAGTTCTTCAAGATATATTGCGTGGCGATAAATTTAGCGTTATTTTCATACATGTATTTCTCCATATCTTGAATAAGGATAGAGAATAACTATTGGTAGCGATAATACCTCCACAGATAAACATATTTAGTATCGATGATTTACATATAAGTGGCAACGACTTGACAACTTGAATCATTTACTCTTGAAGATTATTCGCAGTGGTTACAATTAGCGAAGTTGAAAAAAAACTAAATAAAAATGCGTGTTGCTATTGTTGGTGCTGGTGCTGCCGGTTTGGCTTCTGCAAGGCATGTGAGTGCCCAAGGGATCGACTGTGATGTTCTGGAGATGGGCTCCGAGTTGGGGGGCACTTGGGTCTACACTGATAATGTTGGATCAGATCAATATGGATTTCCTGTTTATTCCGCCATGTATAAGGGTCTGAGGTATTGTTTTAAGGCGCATTTCTTGACGAAATCTGGTTTCATTTTTTCGTATACTTCCGCATGATAAATTCGACGAATTGCTTACAGCATATTGACCCCGTGACATCCAGTGTTTTTAGTATTTTTTGGAAACATCGACGTTGATGAATATCTCTCATGTAACTCAATCTAATTACAAATTCTTGACACGCAAATGAGAAAAATTATTATAAACTATAGAATCAATCATGCGCTTATGTAATTAATCAAACTAGGCCTACAATATTGTTGGAATAATTTATCATTAAAATAAAATTATTCAAAAAAGATGTAGGTCAGGTTATAATCAATTGATCATTCACTTCGACTGATTAGCTTTTAATTAAAATCAATGTTTTTGTACTTATTTTCAGAACTAATTTACCCAAAGAGGTGATGGGTTATCCCGATTTTCCCATTCCGGAGCAAAATAAATCCTACTTAACCCAAGCTGAAATATTGGACTTTTTAAATCTCTATGCCGACCACTTTCACATACGGCAGCACATTAGGGTATGTAATATTTTCAGCAACATTAAAAATGCAACTATGACTTTAAATTCGTTTTTTTCCCTGTTTATTTGACTTGTCATCAGTAAAGTAAGCAAAATCTTTCCTACTGCAGAAAATCATCATAATCATTATAATGTTACGAGATACAAATTAACATTTTCAACATTGCACAACAGAATCTCAGCGAATATATTAATATTATGTTTACATTGTTAATGTATTTCACATATAATTTTTTTCTAGCACTAAAAAAAGATGAAATTTACTTCTTTAAGAATAAATTACATACATCTATCCCTTAGTTTGACAGAGCCAAAAGTAATTTCCTGTTTTGGTGTTAGAAATAAAATCATATGATAATATTTACGCAAGTGAAAGTTTTTAGAACTGTTTCCTAAAATTGGAATCTTTTGAATTGTGCCATTATAGCATACCGCAGATGATACGAGTGTGATGTAAAAGGTAACTTAAAGGTAGAATTTCTCAACACTTATAAGTCATATTTATGATATTAAAAATGTTTATAAAATGTGCAAAAATGGTAAATTTATCAGATTATGAAAAAATAATAATGATAAAACCATTTTCAAAAATCAACCTATCTTATCCATCGCAAAACCCCAGACATGAAACATCACACTTTCCTTTATTTGTCCTCGTCCTATGCTAAGCACTCTTCCATTAGGAGTTTTATCAGTTTTAGCGTCACTCATATACTGGGTTATTCATAAATATGAAGCAATATTTGAACCTCAAAAATGAGCTATAAAATTATATTAATTTAAATAATGACTTGTGTCCTATCTCTACTGATAAGAATGTTACATTCCTCGGAATGCAGGTATGGAAATTTGTGTTTTTTTTTTGTAATAACTTCGGAACCATTTGACCAAATCTTATAAAATTTAGAATGGTTACTTGTGAGAACATACCGTTTAAACAAACTAGTAATTACGAAAATCGGATACATCTACTCAATTTCCGGTATTGCTGGTACCGGAAATTGAGTAGATGTATCCGGTTTTGCAGGTCATATTTTCTGTGTTTTTTCGTTTTTTTTGGCCTCTTAACATTTTTTTTTTTGGTCAAAACAATGGAGTAATCAATTTTGAATAAAAAACGCATAACCTTTAATACCTCTAAAATGGACCGTTTTAAAGATATTTTAATTTAAAGTGAGAACTACACAACACTGAAAGCAAAAAGTATGAATTTTGAATGAGTGATATCCACGGCAACAAATGACCATGGTCACATATTTTGCTGTCAGGCATCTGTCAACTTGAGATTGGACGATTAATCGAAAATATTTAATAAAAGAGTTTACCTCAGACTTCAAACATAACTTATTTATAAATCCAAATGGATCTCGTAGCATTTGATTCATAACAAATTCAAAAAAATTTATTGTCAAAGTTAACAGATGCCTGGCAGGGATTTATGTGACCATGGTTATTGGTTGCCGTGGATACCATTTATTCAAAATCCATATTTTTCATTTTCAGCGTTGTGCAGTCCTCAGTTTAAATTATATCTTTACAACGGTCCATTTTAGTGGTATAAAAGGTTATGCTTTTTTTAATCGAAATTGATTATTCTTTAGATTTAAGCAATAAAAAATTAGTGTTAAGAGGCCAAAAAAAAAAAAACGAAAAAACACAAAAAATGTGACCTGCAACTGCTGAAACCGGAAATTGAGTAATGTATCCGGTTTTCGTAATTACTAGCCTAAAGGGTATGCTCTCGCAAGTAACTATTCCACATTTTATAATATTTGGTCAAATGGTTCCAAAGTTATTACAAAAAAAAATCAATTTCCATACCCACATTCCGAAGGCCGTAAAATTCTTATCAATAGAAATCGGACACAAGTTATTATTTAACTTAACATCATTTTATAGGTCATTTTTGAGGTTCAAATATTGCTTCATATTTATGAATAACCCTATATGTCTAAAATTTGTTTTTTATTCACATCCGTGAACTTATTATCTCTATTATTTAGAACAGTCAATAATTTGCGCAATTTTCTGTGTTTTTTGCAAACAGACATTTACTTTTAAACTGTACCTATAGGTATGTACAGTTGGAGACAAAATACTTTGGTCGTTAATGTCACTTGAGTGACATTAAATTGTAAAGCATGCTTTAGGACTGTTAACCTTATTTTTAGCTACTGTCAATCATAGTTGACAAGTTGTATGTACATATTTTTGATAGGAAAATATAATAGCTGTCATTACTTTGAAATTGTCATTCATTTTAATGTTAAGGCTTGAATTACATTAAAGTGTCAGAGAAGTGACGACCAAAGTATTTTGTCTCCAACTGTACATACGTTAACGTTATTTCTAAGCCAAGAACCAATCACATGTCAAGTTGCAATGCTCATTTTTATACTCTTTTTAGAAAAATAAACACATTAACAGAGAATTTTGTGCTAAAATAGCATATTAATAGAAGTGTCAATCAAACGTCAGATTAGCTAATCACGTGACCAAATTAAACCAACCAAATGCCTAAATTCACGGGTTAATCGCGCATTAACTTTTAACACAACGAATTAATTTTTAATTCTTCTTCTATAAACCGCCTTAGGGATACTACAACTGCTATATTTATAACACAATTTTATACACACAGTTTAAACATACTTACGAAAAATTATAAATGATATTAAAATTTGAGTTAGGAATTTAAAACAAAGGAGGAATTTTTTTCTTCCTTTGAAAACTACTTGGCCTGTAGATGTCTTATATCAGAAAAAAATATACATATATGGAACACAGGGAAAGAATGTTTTTTTTCTTCCCTTGAACCCTCGCGGGAAAAAGAAATAGTTTTCTTCCCTCTCTATACAAGGTGCGCCAGAACTCGCGCCCCAGAGAAAAATGCCATATAAGGTAAGATACCAGGAACATGGAAAAAATGTTAAAAAAAAAATTATGTATAAAAATTTCGAAGTTATGAGGGCTTAAAGTTTGCACTTTGACTCTATTTATTTCTGTTGGAAAAATAATTTTACAAGTTTTTTTGCTATAGGCTGTTAAAAGAGGAAACAAGGAAGCTGTGTCCTAAATTCAGGGGCGGACTGGCCAGGGGTGCCGGGGTGCCACAGCACCCCGGGCCCTCCAGTCTTACGGGCCCCCAATTATGGTAGGCTTATTATGTAAAGAGCTCATTGAAATAATATCAATAATTTTAAATTTGTAAACAAACTTTCCACAACGCATAGAGCTAATCCATGAAGTGCTGAATTGCGTTTTTCGCAGAGGCTAAGTTTGAAGGAATTAAAAAATTGCCATCATAACAAATAAAACTATAATTTCAATAATTTTAGCTCAATTTTGTTTATAAGGTCTTACACGCATGTAAGAAAAATTCCACGTGGATTTATACAAATGATTCAAAAATTTGTGTCATAATTTTAATCACGAATACTCCTCTACAAATGACAATAGATAGCATAGTATTTATTAATCCAACTCATCAAGCAATAGAAAAATTACAGCTTTTCTAATCATCAAGAAATAAACAAATGTTCCTTTGGATTTAATGAAATTTACTTTAAATATGACAGCATTGACAGCGATGTCATTCGTAGTGGATTGTTTCCAAGGTACGCAAATTCTGATTTTGCAGCGCGGTTTAGAATTTAGTTTAAACTGAAATAACTCGAGAACGGTACATTTTGGCAATATGAAACTACCATTTTTTGTAAAAAAAATGATTGGGCTTTTAATTTTTGATATCAAAAACAGAAATTAATAAGCCGAAAAGAAGTTATGATACAAAAACTGGGAGGACCTATTGCTACCGGAAATGTATAGCTTCTACAAGACTTCCGTTTACACCAAATCAAAGAGTGTCTTTTTGTAATTTGTATGGTTGTAATTTTAATTATTTTTTTTTAAATTATTAGTGGGCATAAATAATGGAAAAATCTAAATATAAGTATAAATTTGATGCATAGAAACAAAAAAAAAAAAAAACAAAAATTAAAAGCCGCTGAAGACGTTCATCTAAAAACTTTATTTTCGTTTATTAAACCATCATGATTTCAACTGACGTCCCAATCTCAGTAGAGGAAATAAACTCCTTCAAAAAAAAATTACTACATCAAGTGACAAGTAGTTTTTATACATATTTTTATTGTATTGTATATTGGGCCCTCATTTCAACTTAGCACCCCATATAAAAATTTGCCAGTCCGCCCCTGCCGAAATTGTAACTCTGTTCAATGTTATTTGTAGCTTTCATTGGCAAAATTTTTGTACCTTTACTAAATAATTGTATAAAAACATATACAAGATCATCAGTATCATTAAATAGACATAAAAAAATGTCAAATGTCAAAAAATAAATGTCAAAATTAGAATTTTTTAAACATTTTTTTCACGTTCCTGGTATCTTACCTTACTTGAAAATTTTCTCTGGGGCACGAGTCCTGGCGCACCCTGTATTGATGCTTTTACTGACGGCAAAAAATGTGTTTACTTACACTTGAGAAAAAAGTGTTATTCTCTGCTTTTCAATATACTCGTAAAAGTCTCTTGCTAATTTTGAGGTTGTTGATATTTTCTAACCATCCATCTTTTGTTGCAAAATAGTTAGGTTTCAAAAATTACACCCGAATGAGTTGTCATTAATATTTTTTTATATGGATGTTTCAAATTTAAACCTTTAAACTAATAACAATTAAAGACTCAATCTTGCAACTATTACTTTAACCCTCTTTTCATTTTCTAACTTGTATATGTTTTTATTTTTCTTACAAATAGATTTCTTATAGTTTAACCGAATGGTTGTGGAAATTCGCCCAATGGGTGACAAGTGGCAAATCAAATCAATCCACAAACCGACCAAGGAAGAAATCGTCGACATTTACGACGCTGTAATGATTTGCAATGGCCACTATAACGACCCTATCATCCCGAAAATTCCCGGTCAAGAGAAATTCAAGGGTGAAATCGCCCACAGCCACCAATACCGGTCGCCCGAACGATTTAAAAATCAAAACGTTCTTGTAATAGGTGCCGGTCCCTCGGGCTTGGACTTAGCTCTCCACATCTCGTCAGTGGCTAAAAAAGTCGTTCTCAGCCACCACACGAAAGAAGCTGTCAACACCGAATACCCAGCCAATGTCAGCAAAAAACCCGATGTTTCATTCATCAAAGGTGAAGAGGAAGTTGAGTTTGTCGACGGTTCTTGTTGTCGTTTCGACACGATAATCTACTGCACCGGTTACAGATATAGTTTCCCGTTTCTGCACGAATCGTGCGGAGTAACCGTCGACAACAATCACATTCAGCCCCTCTACAAACATATGATACACATAGAAAAACCCACCATGTGCTTCATCGGAATTCCATTCAATGTCTGTGCTTTCCAAATGTTCGATCTTCAGGTAGGTTTAGAAAGATGGTGCAGTTAGAAAGAATTAATAGTGATTTTACAGGCTAGATTCTTTTGCCAATACCTCAATGGTTCGATGTCGTTACCTTCACGTGAGATGATGCGAATGGACACTGAAAAAGATATGCAGAACCGATGGGCGAAGGGATACACCAAGAGACAAGCTCATCTCATGGGACCCGACCAGCAAGGCTATTACGAGGATTTGGCAGCGGCGGCAAACACCACGCCTATTGCTCCTGTTATTGTTAAACTGAGAGATGAAAGTGTCAAGAGGTTATACGATGATCTTCAAAACTTCCGAGAAGATAGGTACAAGATTGTTAACAATGAATCTTTTGTTAAGGTCCATTAGATTAGATTTTTCACGGGTACTCAAGTGGTGCTACTTATCAAAATATTCATTTTATTTCCTATATAACATGAACCATGTCGTATAGTTTTCTACATCTACTATTTTTAGGATAATGTATTAAATATTTTAGTAGCGTTGTATTTATATCTATGGATATAGTACTCGTAATTCGTATTTTAGTATCTTACAAAACATTTAGTCCGCATAATTTATTCTTGTAAATATGTAGATTAGCGTATATAATAAAGTTCCAATATAAAAAGTGTCCCAAACCCAATATTCAACCTTTAAATAGGCATTCTTTATACAACAATGAAATGGTATATTAAAGTACAAGTTGAGGAACAAATGAGTGCTTGAGGAACCTTCTGCAACAAGTGCTTTATACTATTTTTTTCTATTTTGCCGCTTTATATCATTTTATAAATTAAAAGACAAAAATTTTATTTTTTTTTTGTAAAGAATTTTGCGACGGTTGGCGACATTTATGTGGAATAATTTTAGGCGGTTGTGAAATATAAAAATAATTCTTATTTTCACATTTGAAAATGAATAGTGAAGAAAGTCCGTCACTAAAATTAAATTAACGCCAACGACTTATTAAAGCACTCAAATGACGTCATTTGGGTGCTGGAATAGACTTATTCTAAACACAAAATAGAAAAATAATGTTTCGTCCCAACAGGGAATAAAGTAACGGTTTATTACGTTATTTTTGACTAATAATCTGGTATTTTATTCTCTTGGCGCTCGGGAATCTTTTGAGTGTTTCTTGACATAAACAAACTCTTTGATACCGATTTAAATCTTAAAATTGAACAATCATAAGAAACACTAAATTTGACGTGAAAATTTTCAATTTAAAACACATTCATACATTTTTTAGGTTTTACAAAAAAAAAATTAATTTTATCAACGCAAAAATGTTTTACGTAGAGCTAAATTCTGAAGTAAAACGATCGTAATCGTAATCTGTTGGAATTTAAGAGCAAACTTTTTCTTTATGTTTAAAAGAAAAAAGTAAAGAATGTATTATTAAAAGTAAATAATACAAACATAAAAATATGAAATATGAAAAAAAATTACCAAAGTTGTAAATAGATTTTTTTTATTTTTGTTTAAAAAACTGCTTTGTTTTGACCAAGAAACTCCATTATGATTAAAAAAAATGCGACAGCTTTAATTATTTTTTCAAACTTTCTGAAGTTATAGCTATGGTATCAGGGTAGAGTAGAGAAAGATGTAGACAATTAATTGTGGTAGTATGGTAAATATAAAGAAATTTTATTTAAAACATAGTATAGGTAACATTACCTAGTATAGGTACATAAAATATAGGTATAAACAAAAAAAAAAAACGAAAGAAACACATCCTTTACCGACTTGTGGAACAATTACTGAAGGTGTTTTCTTAAGAATATAACCAACTATATAACATCCTCTTAGTAACTATAAAATATAACATAAAGTTTTACTTGAACATAAAAAAAAAATCAAAGGCTAGAGATAGCCAACAAAATTACAAGAGAATTTAGTATTAGAATAATAAACCAAAAGAATGTTTCTTCAGTCCTAAAAAATGTCTTAAAACAAACCCTGAAAACTCCTGGCAAACAGAACTCTCATTAAAATTTAAACTTTTCGTCTGTGCGTTGAGAGAAATATTTTCTTTGGTTTCTTTTTCGTTTGATCCTTCAGTAGATCCTGCAACTATTTAAAAATTTATGCAATTACTTTTTATTTATTGAACTTACAAGTCTTGTTTATTTACTTTTTAATCGTATAGATAAAGTACGTGTTAAAACATAATCCAAGTCAAAAAAAATTGGATTTTAGTGGGCTTATTATGTAGATTGTAACTGTTAACGCATGAAAATAATTGTTAAGAATTATATTTCTAACAATCCTTGTCTTCAAAATCACTAAAGCAAAAATCGCTTTCATCGCTGCTATCGTCGATTATAATAAGTTTATTAATTTATTTATTTGGGATCACCCAATTGCAAACTCTTGCAAAATGACAGAAGAAGAAAATTTGAGAGAAAAGAAAAGTACGCCCATTTTTTTTATCTTAACCAAGTGGACGCATCCCCAAAACCGCCAATGTGATAGGACTTAAAAAGCAAAGAAAAGTAAAGTCCAAAATCAAGAGAAAAATAAACTTTTTTTTTCGACTGAGTTAGAATAATGAAGTTTTACAGATTTGCTCGTTTCAGGTAAAGCAAAAAATGTTTTTTCTTTGCAGTTTTGGAGTAAAATCAAAGATAATTTTTTTCCCTCTTGTAAACTCAATCCGGGGACATACTGTATTTAGAGCCTTACCTTTTTCCGTTGATGCTCCATCCAAACTGATATGTGCCCTCCTTTTAAATGGACGCTGAGGTTCTTTCAGTTCCTCTGGCGATTTCCCGACGGCTCTGCCAATTATTGTCTGAATGTACAGTAATCTATTTAGATGGATGGGTTCTTTTTCTAAAAACAACAAATTCAAAAATATTATTATAATCAATCAAATCAATAAACAACCTTCGGTGTTTTTTATTCGGTGGGACCGCCGAAGCTTTCCTGTTAATGCATTTCCTAAAAACTGCGAATTCATAAATATAATCTACTAAGTCAATAACAACCTTTGTTGTCTTTTATTCGTTGGGACCTCCGAAGCTCCAGTGTTGATCCATTTCTATATTGATTTGCACGAATCTACAAGACAATTTGGATAATCTTAACAAAAACTTGTTTTGATGAATTTTGAAACTATACATTTTCAATGCTGTTGTCCCCTGAATCTAAATCATCGTTTCTTGCAACAATGGAAAAATTATAAGTGAGTTTTCGTCTCTCATCAGAATTTGCACAATCAGCCATATTTTTTTACACGTCTGAACTTCTAAAGATCCTAGTCAAAACATCTCAGTATTAAATGGGTGAAGCACTTACATATCACAAATATTCTAATTGATAATAAGAACAAAAATTAATGGCCAACACTTAAAACGCACTAAAATTAAGTAAAATATAAAACAAAAATTAGCCCGTCCAATAAATGAATAAGCAACTGGCATAACAGATATGACTGGAAACCACCTGGAAACTGATATCGTGGGAATTGGGAAACTGGATAATAATTGGAACTGGTTTCGGTGACCAGCGCATGACGGATGCCGCTTAAATACTGTAAACGTATGTTTAAAAAACAATTAATCAGTGGATTAGAATTTTTAACTTAACTAAGTAGAGAAAAATTTTATTTTTAAGTAGCATTGTGATATTCAAGCATTTACACTTTTTATGATTAAATTTTATAAAATTGCTATATTCAAAATAAAAAAAAAACGGGAAATGATTTTTTTCCAAATGTAAATTTGGTTCTAGTTGTCAATTGTCAACTTGACAATACCTATCAAAAATATTTCTATCAATGTCATTAAATTTATACCAACTTGTGTAACCGCATTTAAGTGAAGTAAAGAGCCAGAATTGTCGATCACCTGGAAAATGTTAAGAAAATTATGAATTTAGCGGCAGAATTTCGAGTGCCATCAAAATATTTTAATCTATTTTTAATAAAACACGTTCGCATCATGGAAAAATTGAAAAAAAACCTCTAAATTTTTTTGACATTTTCCCGTTTTTTTGAATGTAGCTTTACCTATTTTTATTTTAAAATTTACGAGTATGTGTACTTACTGTCAAATTCAAAAAAAAGTAGTCCTTATTTTAAAAATTAATAAACAATATATAAATCGTCTTATAAAACTTGTATAGTATAATAGTATTTTACATTTTTATGACAAATACATTAATAATATATTTTTGATAATAAGATTACACATTTTAATATTTTAAATTTCATGTGGATAGAAGAAATGTTAAATGACAACCCTCTATACACCAAAATTTGATGTTGATGATTTGGTTTGGCTAAGCTTAATTTCTAGCTCGTGTGGTTTTGTTAGATCATATGAGCGGTAGCTATAATAAATAGTAGGCAGCATGCGCTAGACGTGTTGTCACTTGTCAGCCACCTCATCGGTTATTGGAAACAGCACTTGTTTTATTTATAAAAAAATAATAATTTATGTATTATTCAACAAATCTGTTAAGAAGCATATTTAAGAATGAACTTCAGGTTTAATTTGTGTTTACTTTGTATATATTTTGTTAACGTAGAATGTATTATGTGGACATTGAAACCCAACACACAAAAATGTTTAAAAGAAGAATTGCAAGGAAATGTACCAGTTATTGGGGAGTTCGAAGTTTCTGAGGCAATGGGTCAAAAAGTTGACTGTGTCGTAAGTTGCATTATATCCTCTTGATGATTCTGGAACTCCGAAACGAGTATTTTATTTTTAGGTTAGGGACTCGAAAGGACATATTTTATATCAGAGAGAAGACATTACAAAAGGAAAACTCACATTCAACACGGAAAGTTACGACACGTACGAGATTTGTTTTATTTCTCGTGTTTCTCAAAGTAAGTTTATATTTTTTTTGTATTTGAAAAAATCTTGATTTGTATTTTCATGTCTAGATGTAAGAGGTATTGGACAAGATGTGTCTTTAGTAACAAAACATGGAGTTGAAACGAAAAATTATGAAGTGGTATGTCATTAATTAAAAACAACTATTGAACCAAATTCTATTTATCAAACATTTAGTTAGGTGAAGCTGCACAACTAAAACCCATAGAAAAGGAATTAAAAAGATTAGAGGATTTGTCAAATGAAATTGTCCAAGACTTTGCTCTTATGAGGAAGAGGGAGGAAGAGATGAGAGATACAAATGGTGAGTATACTACTTCTACACCTAATAGACGGTTGCAACTGGTTTTATTTTGCAGAGTCAACAAACAGTAGGGTATTGTACTTCTCAGTGTTTTCAATGTGTTGTCTGTTGGGATTGGCTACTTGGCAAGTTCTCTATTTAAGAAGATACTTCAAAGCAAAAAAATTAATTGAATAGTTTTTGCCAAACATCAATGCCACTGATTATTTTGTTTTGTTGTAATATTTAAATATAACTTTTTCTCGAAGTTTTGTACATTATTGGACTAATTTTTGTACCTAAATTATTTTCCTGAAATAAATGTGTTTGGGACACTTGAGTTTACGTTTTGGGCAGCTTCATCGATTTGCAAATCTCTATTCTAATTTCATCAAATAAATTCCCTCATAAAACGATTCAAAAGTATAAATCCGATAATTTTAGTTATAAAGTTTCTCTTTAATACAATAATAAATAAATTTGAGATTGGTATTGAAAATAAACATTTATTATTAAAAGATGTAATGAATTTATGACTTCCTGTGAACCATGATGGTATTAGCAATAATGTATTTTTGCAAGTAAGGTTTTTTTATCAGATGTTATTTTAGTTTTTTTTGTTAATTTTTATTATTATTCTAATATTTATCACAAATATTAAGCTATTTCAAGGGTGTTTAATTTAATTTGTTATGTATCCCCTCTTCTTTTTTTAGAATAGAAACAAGAAATGTTAAAATTCCAAATTTGAGGTTATGTTTTTGAAAATGAGTAAAAACAAGAAATTTAATTTAAAAAATTTCATCCTTGCTGAGGAACGCAAAAGGATATGGAAAGAATCAGTCGACAAGCAGGAATACAGAGAAAACGTAGATTTATTGGATAGACTCCAGAAGAGAAATTTGGAATTGGTGACTAAAAGAAATAAATCGTTTGAAAGCAAACAAATAAGAAACCGTAGAAATGTAGGTAAAATTAGTAAAAAGAAGACTAGAAGCCAAAGACAAGGAAATGCTAGTGAGTCAACATGTCCTGAAGTCTGTGTAAAGGAGCTTCTTTCGCTTATTCATTGTTTGGAAAATAACACAATCAACGCAAGAAAAGAAGTTCATGATTGCTTAGAACGCCAAAGTTCAACGTTTGGTCTTTTCTGGGATTCACCAACTCAGATATTGAGACTTGCAAAAAAGTGCGTTTTAACTCAAGAATGGTCAAAGATGACCTATTTTTTACTATTGCTTTTACATTTTGACAAGAAATACCTTAATATTATCAAAAATGTAATCAATCTTTACTGTTTGTACAATATTTGTAACTGATTTAATTTCAGATGGTCACAATTATGATTAAGTTTAACCCATTGGTGAAGGAAAGTGGATTAGAAAGCCAATTCAAAACATTAGTCCAAACATCAAGTACCAAGTCTTTAATTGTATAAGGAAATAAAACAATATTTGTACAAAAAAGTCTTATTTATTGCGATTAACATCAAGATCACACAAATCTTAAAAAATGGTCTATTCTAAAATAAGCAAGGCATCCTTTCCATCAATCTTCCTTTCCTTCCCATGATTCAAACAAAATTCACGTTTCAGGTATGCAAACAAAATATCAGTAACCAAAAAAATTTGTGCTATGGCAAACGCTAATGTGACTCCAAAATAAAAATTTGCATTTGCAGAGTTTGAGTAGATCCACAAATGCCACAAAATCGGACCCAAAGCTGTTGTAATAAGAAAAATCACTCCCACCAAAAATCCTTGTTGAGAGTAATTAAACAAATGAATAAAGCAAGGCAAAAGACTCAACGCAAATCCAACATCACCCAAACATGGATACGACTTAAAAACTGAAATCAGACATAAAAGTGCAAAAGTTAGTAAAAATGGATCTTTGCGAAACTTAACCGACAGTGGAATTAGATACAGAATGGTTGCGTTTATTTGAAAAGAGCTAATGAATAAGTCTCGAAAGTGGTCAAACATTTCGGTGAAAAAGTACCAAAATAACCCGATGTTGGGTTGTAAGTCTGGGACTGTTATTATGAAACCGTAGACGTTTTTCATAAATGCGGTACCGTTGCTTAAAGTAATGGAAATGCTTATGAATGCTGCAAGTGTGGCAACAAACAAAATTGGTGTGATAAACGCACGAAATTTATTTTTGTAAATACCGTAAAAGTACAAGAAAACTGGAATAATTAATACTATCGGGTACAAAGACATCATTGTGCATAACGCGAGAGAGAGTAAACTCAAAACAACACTACCGCTTAGCATAGAAAACAAAAAAAGGGCTACGAAAAAATTATGAAACACTATAGTCGACTGGCCAACACAATTGAAAATTGTATAAGGGTTAAAAAGAAAAGCCGCTGCTACAAAAACTGGTGAATTAAGGAAATCAGACCCTGATAACAAGAATTCCTTACTGTTCTGGGCGTACTGCTTTTTATTTTCTTCTTGTTCAATAAATAGGTGAAACATGTATTTCTTTGCAACAAAATACAGTAACGCTGCTGTTCCCGCATCAACGATGAGAAATATAGTCTTAATGTGCAATTTCCACGACTGTGTCAATATTTTATAGAATAATATTGTTATTGGTGCTTCATGGAGTAAATCCCCGTCATATGGATTTATACCCTTGGACTGAAGACAAAGTCCTTCCGATACTCGTTTCCATGAGTTCAGAGGTGTGGATATTTCAATATGGTTTGCAATTATGGTTTGATATCTTGAAAACATTAACCAATAGCGGATTCCAATTCCTGTCAGGTACATGAGGAAGATGGTCCATCCCTTGTAACAATTTTGGTTTAAGTCCTGACATTTTTCTTTTTTTTCAAGTGCCATGATGTTACAATTTCAAAAACTCATCCCCTTTAAGGGACAATTTCGAAGATATTGAAAATTACAGATTGAATAATTAATAGAATTAAGTGAGGTTAGTATGAATTCAAAATGACACTCCCATCTGTCAAACAATTTTGTACAAGGTCGTGGTTAAAGAAACGACTCGAAGCATAAACCAAGAGTAAATAAAATTCTGTTATTATAACTTAAATGTACAACTTTAATAAATCAATTAAATTTTAAATTAAATTGATTGGTCACTATAAAATAAACTTTTTTTGTGCCTTTAATCTAGTCAACCATAAATACATACTGTAAATGTCATTGCATGGAACTTTAACCACTTATACCTCGTGTGTTGACGAATTGACAATGACAAATACAAAAATTTTAACGGATTTTTTATTTTTAGTTTTGATCTTAGGTTGATTCGTGAATGTGCGTGAACCGGACTGTTTAAAGGTAATTTTTTGGTTTGTTGTGTCATACTTTGTAAATGTCATTTATTTTTAACTCGCATTATTTGGTAGGTACCTACCTATTTGGTGGATTTACTGCGATTTTCAAAATGTCTCAACAAAATACCAAAACTCCTGCTATGGTGCTCCAAGAATTCACGGTAAAGCGTGGTTTCTCTCCTCCTGAATACATCCTGGTAATGAGCAAAACCGGTACACATGAAAACGAATTTCACTACAAAGTTAATGTTGCAAATGTGCGTGGAATGGGATTTGGACGTTCAAAACAAGTAGCAAAACATAACGCTGCAAGCAAAGCGTTAGAAATTCTTGCCGAGCAAGGTTTATATGACCCTAGTAGCAACCCTGCTCAAGAGTTTAATGCACAATCTCATAGAAATGAATCCGATAGCCCCTTAAAGCCGCCAGTTAATTTTATAGGGAATTTGAAAGACATGTGCTGTGAATTAAAGCTTCCTTATCCGGAATTTAAGGAGATTTCTGACGTTGGGCCTCCACACTGCCGGGAATTTACTTACGAATGTAGTATTGCTTCAATAACAACTCAGGCAACTGCTAATACCAAAAAGCAAGCTAAGCAACTTGCAGCACGAGATATGCTGGAGAAAATTAGGGAAACGTGTCCAGAACTAACAGAACAGTTTACTGCTGAGTCTAACAGCATTACGTCAGATAGTCATGAAGTCCTTAAGAAATACAGTGAATTATCAACAACTCTAGATGTTATCCCTAACAGAGCAGTCATGATTGGGGAATTTTCGACAGCTATTAAGAAGAGAATGATAGAAAAAAATGTTTCTTTTGAAGATTTCCAAGAACAGTTTAAATTGAAAAATAAAGTAGGAATTGATTACATTTTTGAAAAATTAGATATTAAATACAACATAGAATTGTTTCAAGAAACTCCTCCAATACTTTGCGCGTTGTTTGGATTAGATACACCTTTTACTGTAATGGCTGTTGGACGTAGTGAAGAAGATTCAATGACAAAACTGATTCATGAGATATATGTAATTTTAGATATTTATATGAACAGAGGATAGTTGTACAGTAACCTTTTCTTTTAGATAAATGTATTGACTTGAATTAAGAATAATATTTTTTTTTTATTTAAGGGTTATTTTTGTTTGATAGTTCTCCGTAGTTTGAAACAAAATTATAACAGTTAACTGCTGCCCAATTTTGTGTAGTTTTATCTCATCTTGCTAGATGTCGCCTTCTTTCAAAATGTCTAAAATGTCATCCTCAAAATGATCTGCGGGAAGATTCTGGGGGTGGCAAATATTATTAAATGTTTGAAATAAACCAGTATTTATAAATAAAAGTAGTGTCACTTTCGGTAACCACACTTGAAATCACAAATACAATGGCAGGTGAAGCTAGTCATAAGAAAAAAGGTAAACTATCCCGTCAAGAATCAAACAGATCAGGTAAAGGTTCAGAAGTTGAAGATAGGCCTACAGCCGGTGCCAGCAACACCCAAGACAAGACTAGCGGAGGTCTTCGCGTTTATAAAATAGTCGTCTTAGGAGACGGAGGCGTGGGAAAATCTGGTGAGAAACTCTCGTCTTTTCTCATATGTACATTTATTCATGATGTGTGTTTGTAGCCGTCACTCTTCAATTTGTAAACCACAGTTTTTTGGACTATCACGACCCAACCATAGGTAAATAACAAGTTTGTGCACGAGTTGAGGGGACGATACAGTATTTTGGGTGAAATTGATTCTTAAACACATTGGAAAATGCCTATTTTGATAAAATATGGAGGTGGAATGCCCTGTTTAGTGAAAGGACAGAACTACACAATTGCACCGCATTGCTATTTAAGCATATAGCACATATTGGAATATTCTTATTCAGGATGAACTTTTTTCAAAATCTCAGAATTCATCAAAAATTGAAGTAATTATTCTTATTCAGGATGAACTTTTTTCAAAATCTCAGAATTCATCAAAAATTGAAGTAATTGTTATTTTGGGTAAAAACAATAACTGCTTACTAATTTAGCTTACAGCATAGGTGCTTAAACTTACTTGTTTTATTAAATGTTCACTGTGTTACATAAACAAAATATTTCATAGACACATTTTAAAACTATACTGGTAGTAAGGTCGTATATTTCCTATTCAACATCAGAAAACTACACTATTTACGAAATATTTTTTTATTTTACACATTATTGCATTTACATGTAGATAAAGAGGACGTGACAACATCACTGCACAATCATATTTCTACTAATTCAAAATACATATATAAATTGTCTCAAAAACAATAAAAAACACTTTAAGCGGGGTCAAAATGTAGGAATTCTAATTCTGAAAAAATATAAAGTTATTTCCAATTGATTATCTGTCACTGATTCGAATGTTTTACTGTGTTTTGTCACTTTATGAACTCATTTGCGCTTTCACAAACACTAAAGATAGGTCTTCAAAACAAAGTGTCAAAATGTTTAGTTTCTTTTTATAGTATCCTTCAGCTTTTGCATTTTTGGAATTTATGTTGCTAACTTGGTGTTTCCAGAGGACTCGTATCAGAAACAGGCCGTAATTGACGGCGAAGCGGCCCTTTTGGACATTTTAGATACGGCTGGTCAAGTCGAATTTACAGCAATGCGTGACCAATACATGCGCTGCGGCGAGGGCTTCCTGATCTGCTATAGCGTCACGGATCGACACAGCTTCCAAGAAGCGCTCGAATACAGAAAACTTATCCAGAAAGTGCGAGCTTCCGAAGACACACCCTTAGTTCTAGTCGGCAACAAATTCGATCTTCAATTGCAGAGGAAAGTCACGACGGAGGAAGGTAGGACGTTGGCGAGACAATTCGCTTGTCCATTTTACGAAACGTCGGCGGCTTTGAGAACATTTGTCGATGATGCGTTTCATACATTAGTTAGAGAGATTAGAAATAAAGAAAGAGAGAAACTTGGGTTGCCGGTGAACGAACGAAAACCGCACAGACACAGCAAATGGTGGCGGTTGAGGAGTATATTCGCGCTAGTTTTTAAAAGAAAAAGACACACGAGTTACAATTCATAACTTTTAGTTCAAGTTATTATCGTTCGTTTGAGTGACACCTCAAACAATCAGGTTTATTCATTTCTTGGCTTAGTTTAGACACACTGAGGTGACCAGTTCTTGCTTCTTGTATGATTTGTTTGAAATCAAAAATGACTGAATATTTTGCAGAATCACCACCATAAACATTCCAGTCATTTTATATTCCTTGAAAATTAAAAATCTACTTACTTCACTAATAGCTTTTAATTCCATGAGTGTTATTTCTGTAAAATGGCTTTTTTTTTTAATTTCATTAGCTTGTAAGAGTTCGAATGACTGGTCTGTTTAATATAAGTGCAATAATTATCGTTTGTTAGTAACAAATGTATATAAAAATTTGTTTGATGTTCCTAAGCTGTAAAAATCGTGAGCTGTTACAACGAAGCAAGAAAAATACAAAATGGATAAATCCAAGGCGTTTAATGCGCACAATTCTGTAATGTCATTATACTGTTAAAAAATATGTAACGCATAAATTGTTGTTTTGTAAATTCTAATTTTCGTAATTATGTAATTGCAACGATTTTTTTATTCAGAGAACGCAAAATTTAAATTGAAAAAAAGGATTTATTTAAATCTGGATTTTATACAAAAAATTAATTAAAATAACACATCAAGATTCAGTATTTAAGAATAACCATTTATAAAAGACAATAAACCTTACATTTTGATCAGTATAAGGTGGATTTACGAATATTTACTGCAGAATGTTGGTTCGAAAGAATCAGTTTATTGTTTGAATACGTCTTCGTCACAGGCTGCTTTATTTAAATATTTTTTGTTTCACGATTCTAAGGCGGGTAAATGTTTGTGAATCTAGACATACTGACACTTCAAACACCTACTTAAATCTAAAAATAGATCGGATTATCGTTTAATAATAGGTACTAACTGCATTAATCACTAGTTTATGATTAATTACTGCCATTGTTGGGCACGTTCCAAATCAATTGAATTTTGAACAAAACGCCTAAAGTTGTGAACCATAAAAGCAGCTCATAACTCATAAATGTTGGAAAAAATTCGTTTATATGTTGTAACCCAAGTCTTTCGCATTGAAATTGTACTGCATGTATATAATACTTTAGGTATAAATGTCTGAATTCGGTAATCGAACATCATTGGACACAGCCAAGACCAATCATTGCATTTAATGTAGTTAAGAATTTGTTTGTTGTTGATATTTTTATATTTTATTTCATTGTCCCACAATGAGGCTAAGAATTTTAATCGTTAAGTATCTTCCTGTTCACAGCGCTGAGAATTCTAATAACCGTTATGTTTTGCGAAATTTATAGCTGTTGCACTTTTTCTCATGCTCATGTAAAAATTAATAGTGAAATAGTAAAGAGGAAAACAGGGTAGAATCAAATACTGGCGGTTGACCTCTTGATTTTCCTGCATTAAAACGAAATTAAATGGAAATTAGAATAATACGAAAAACCAATCATTAAGAACGGGTATATAGCTGTAGTATTTTGATGTTTGTCGATGGCAGCTTAGCCTTTAGGTGACATTTGTGTAACAAAATTGTGATGTGCCCTATTTAAATGCAATTTTGAATTCTACATTGTTTTCTTTTTGCTTTTATAATACTCATACTAACATCATTTGAACCACTTTTTTTTCTTTTATTTTTGGTAGGTATTCATCTGTATGAATGCTACTCAAAAAACGACGTATTAGTTCATAGGTGGAGACTTTTGACGTGAGTAATAGAAAAAATATTCTCTTTAAACACGTCAAAAGTCATACCTTAATAAAAGTATTAATATAAGTTATTTATTGTATTTTTTATAATCTGAAATATAAAACTGTTTTGTTAGAAGTGATTTTTCACTTTCCAGTCTTGTAAAATTTTGGTGAGTACTTTCTTTTCCTCATCTGAAGCAAATGTGTAACTGACCGTTTTCTGAGTCATTTCCCAGAGGTTTGTTGGTGTTAAAGAAAAATATTGGTAGGCTAATCCCAGTTCTTTGGATAAATTCGTCCCAAATACGCCTTTATCATCAGTCTAAAAAGTGTCTATTAAAATGTTTGTCAAAAAAGTTACCAAAGTACAAACACATAAAGTAAATGGTAATGAATTTTTAATCCATTCTTGCAGATGATGCTGTTTGTAACTTTTCGCCGTTCCACATGCCACGTTTGATGTTAAACAGCATTCTGTAACAAAAATGTGACCAACAAGCTCAGCGAGAGTGGTACATCGTACCCAATGGAATGTTTGTGTCAAGATATAATTTCCAAATGCTATCATTACCCCCAAAATTAGGATGCAAAAATGTCCCATGCCCAATTCTGTCGGGTCTAAATTTGAGAATTTCTTCAACCTCCTCATCATTTTTTATTTCAGCGCAGTGTAGAGTGATAAATAAGCCACAATTTCGTGCTTTTTGAAATAGTTTGGGGTCGAAAGTGCCATTGTAAGGGTTACCACTAAAATCAACGCCTTTTATTACATTGGGATATTTTTGCCTCATTTTAATAATAAGTTCCAAGTTTTCTTCACATTTCAAGTCATCGCTTCTATCAATTGAAAGAAGCAGCTTCACAATGATGTTTTTATCACAATCTTTTATTGCTCTAATCACAGATTCGATATAATCTGCTTTCGTCATGTTTTGTTCTTCTCTTGGAGTCGTCCGTAATTCTAAATATGCGACATTTTCATTGAAGAAATCCTCAATTACGTATTTTGTGGCCAAGTAAACTGATTGTTGATTTTTAGTAGCACTATGGGCTACTTTGAATAATTTAAAACATTCATTTAAGGTTTTTTCGGTTGCTTGCAAGTCCGCTAATTGTTGATATTCGGATATTTGTTCGTTGGAGCATCCCAGTTTTTGTAAACTGAAAGCGCTTAAAGAGCCATTGAGATGAGCGTGCAATTCCTAAAAAATATGTATACAATGATGTAGAAATGGAGAAATTTACTGACTATTTTCGGTAATAAGTTACAAAACTGTTCAAATTCCATTTTAAAATATGTGCCACAGGACAGATAGATTATGTGCCCACGTGTTGTAAACAAAACACTATCGTTTTGTCCACACAATAGCGGAATACGGAGGATTAGCAGCCAGTCGGTAAAAAAGTTCAGCAACGAAGGATAAAAAAAAATATGTAAATTTTTGATAAAACTAATAGTCTGTAGGTAAAATTGATCACATTTTTTAACATTAGAATTTCAAATCAGTAATCACTGAAAGCAAAATCATTTTACGCATTATGGGCTTCTGTGAATCAAACTTCAACAGTCCGATACGACCAATCAAACACGTGACCACGTGACTGATAAGTACAAGGAAACAAATGACTCACGATATAAGAAACGTCAGATGGTCATTTGTTTTGTTTTTGTGCTGTATCGATGTGTGGTTACGTGCGATTTTAATTATAATTTAGGTAATAATTGCCTAATTTTAATTTGTGTATGCCTAATTTAAGTGAAAGTGTCTGACATAACCTTATTTTTTCTACCAGAAATGAATCCTCCGCCACCTGCGACCTTAAATAAAGAAACAATAGGAGTCTGGCACGGATGGAGCAACGTTGGTGATAAGGAAGTAGCCAGAGAGGCAGCAGCAAAGGGTTCACATGTCAGTTTAGCAATTCATTTTCTCTCGTTACGAAAAAGAATTACTTTGGAAGAAGCCCAAGTCTGGTTCAGAGAAGAAGTAACATTTTTTGTTTACCTTACACTGCATAATATGTTTACGTAAATGTGCTTTTTTAGGTATTAAAATGGGTACATGAATTATTGGACAGAAAACAAATTTTCCGGGCTTCCCATGTTTTGACCAATATTGGAATTGATCCAGGTGCAGAATTTTCCAAAATTTTTTATACCACAAGCAACAAAAATATGAGGGAATATATTGGAAATCATCTCATGAAAATTGAAAAACTTGATGAAACTTTGCAACAATTATGGACTTTTCTTAATCTGATTTTGGAAAATGCGATCACGATTTCAAAGTATAAATTACCCACAGAAAGTTTGGAATGTTTGGATAAACACAGTGAGGGTTTCAAGGCAGAAGTGGCTACAGTTCTATTAATGAAAACAGAAGGTTTGGCTCAGATATAATTTAAAAAAAAATAAGAATTGAAAAAACAGTTAAAAGAATGTTCATTTATATTTTTTTTCTAATGTTTAAATAGAAGAGAAAAATGTGGGGTGAATATTTTTTTAACTGTGTTAAAATTATACTATTCTCCAAGTACAAGTGGGTCAGTGGTAGTTCACATTTTTCATTATTAAAAAAATTGTTTATTATAGTTTCTAATTTATCTAAAAATAATTCTTAAGCTGTCACTAATTGTACCTACTATATTTCTCTAGATGAAAATGTAGGTGCTATTTTGCTCTTGATTTTTTTATTTTTTTGTATAGATTTGATAAAACTAAGCAGAAACAAATAATGGGCCACCACTGACCATTGATGTGACGAATTTTATAGAAATTTGTATTTTTTTTTTCAGACACTAGACTAAATACGTTTTTAAATGCCGAAACGCTTTGGAAATATTTGTTGATCAACAATGATCTGAATAATTTACTTTTGTGGATAAATATCAGATACAAATCTAAAATAGACGATATGTTGGAAGGTATTTTAATAGACCAATTCAAAAAATTTGCAATCACAAACGAAATGTTAAATTTTCTTGCTGATGAATCTGTTGCCACGAATTTACGACACGTTCTGTATAATGAATTGAGTAAATTCGGAATATTTCAAAACGAGGAGAAAAATAACGTGATTTTAATATTGGAAAGACTGAAAAATTCTTATAGTTTAGCTAATTTATACCAAATTTTAGGAAAAAATCAGTCGACGATAAACGTGGATCATTTTATTAAATTATTGATTGATTATTGTTTAGATAAGCAGTATTATACAGTTTTAAATGTTTGCGTGAAAAATTTTAAATTGCCGCAAGATACCAAAGAATTAAGTTTGATTGGTGATTTTCGTTCATTAGTGAATGGTTTTAGCGAATTTTTACTAACTAGAAATATTTTAAACGTTGTTGATACGCTTTCAAATGACCTTATAACGTTCTTCAATGATAATCCTTTAATTTTATTGACTTTATTAATTTTTACTAAAGAATGTGATTTTACCAAAATGATCGAAAAGTACTCGTTAGTCATAAATAATTTAAATTTAACCGATTCTCTCATAAATATGTTAAAACAAAATGAAATTTTTAATACCGTCTGTTCAAATAAAATTACCGGACCGCCCAAATGTGAGTTGTCCATTTACGATTTAATTGAGAAACATCTGAAAATCGATAAGCAATTGTTACTTGAATTAAAATCATTAAATAATCAACTTGCGCTTTTCTATACTGAAGTTATTCAAAAATATGGCTACTCGAAAAAAATCGACTACAAATTTTACTTGAAAGAAGCAAGACCGAGCGTTGCTGCGAAAAAATACATTTTGGGTGAATCACACGATTTGAAAATTTTAGATCGGAAAAACTGCAAATTGGCAATTATGAATTTTGATTGCGATGAAATCGGGTCGAGTTGTGTCGCTTTTAGTGAAATGGTCGGAGCTGATTCGAATAAAGTGCGAGTTTTGATTCGAGTTGCAAAAATTTTGAGTGAGTCCAAGTACGAAAAAGAGTCACTTTTGGAGTTGCTTTTAAACGAGGATGACCCGTATGTGGTACAAAACGTTCTTGAAAAAATCCTTATCGAATCAATTGAATGTAACCCATTTTTGAGCGGCTCTCAGCTCGTGCAAGCCTTGAAACTTTACGAAATCACAATCCAATTTAGCAAAATCACAAATATTAAACTACCCGAGCTTTTTTTCAAATCGTGCGCAAGTCGTAATTTGTGGCTTCCGTTTCTGTTGTTGGCCCAAATCCATGATTATCCTCTCGATCAGATCAAACTACTGATCCAGTTGTTCAAAAGTCCGAATATGTTGGAACATTTAACACACGGAGTCGTTAACGATATCCAAGTCGAGGAGAAAAACGTCTCTTACTCCCGAAAGAGTCTCATGCTCAAAGTAGGTCTGCACAAAAATCTCGACATTTTGAATCAATACGCTTCGATGTCCGGAAAATCGCAATCGAGTCTTGAAAGTGGGGGAAGTAGTTCAAGTTCAGATTTTTTCGAAATTGATGTTTCCAATATCAAAGCGACTCTGCTCCAGACTTTAATTAGGTGTCACAATAGTACGGATCCACCCAAAGCTTTGCTGCAGGCCTGCCAATTGTATCGGAATCCGTTGTTGGCGGTTTTTGCGACAAGCTATGAGGTTTACGTTGAATTTTTATAGTGGGTTAGTTTTTGAATTTTGGTTTTTAGCCTGACTCGATTATAACGAATTGGTTGACTTGGCTTTCGGTTTCATGTGAGTTGTGTAGAGTTTTCACAAATTATGAAACGACAGCGATTTCGGCGAACTCAGTTACGAATTTGTTGGAGGATTGTTTAAAGAGTAATTATCCAAAGACAATTCTGGAGAGTTTTGAAATTTTTATTCCTGTAAGTGTATTTTTTATGTTGGTATTCTTTGATTGGTTTGTTGTTTTAATTAAAATATGGGAGAAAATTTGATCGATTTTTGCTATGCAAGTTTTATTTATAAATTTATAGTGTTTATTTATTTTTATCAAAATTTACAAATAATCGAAACACACACAAATAAGATGACGTTATTAAGTCGAAAACAGCTATTTTTTTAGTTAGAAAAGGCCACGTTTTTACCGAAAGTTACACAAAATGTTATTTTCTATAACGAGTTGGTATCTTTTTTTTAATTTGGTTATTTCACTTAAAATTAGGTGTAAGTCAGTGCTTTCTTAATTTTTGGTTCTTTAATTTCTCAATAATTGCCATTTTATATATAAAAATATTATTTATTTAGAAAGTACTTTTTTTAATATACAGGGTGCGCCAGAACTTGCACCCCAGATAACATTTTCAAGTAAGGTAAGATACCAGGAACATGAAAAAAATGTTAAAAAAATTCTCTGTCAAAAAATTTTGACATTTATTTTTTTGACATTTGACATTTTTTTATGTCTATTTAATGATACTGATGATCTTGTATATGTTTTTTTACAATTATTTAGTAAAGGTACAAAAGTTTTGCCAATAAAAGCCACAAATAACATTGAACAGAGTTACAATTTAGGATACAACTTCCTTGTTTCCTCTTTTAATAGCCTATAGCAAAAAAAACTTGGAAAATTATTTTTCCAACAGAAATAAATAGAGTCAAAGTGCAAAATTTAAACCCTCATAACTCCTAAATTTTTATAGATAAAATTTTTTAACATTCTTTCCATGGCATTGTTCTCTGGGGCGCGAGTTCTGGCGCAGCCTGTATGTATGTATCTAATGTCGACTGAATGTCTCAGAGAACAGGAGTTTTAAGTTAAAAATAGACTAAACATTCTTCTGTTGTTTTTTTTCTTTCAAATTTTGCCTCATTTTACAGGACGATTAGTAATGTTCGCTTTTATGAAGTGTCTATATGAAACTCATTTTCAAAACAACAGTATCGTTTTCATTTCATATTTTCTCCTCAAATTTTTTGTTTTAGTTTAGTTAGTTTTTTCAGTGAACTTTTTTAATGCGCTGAAATTATAAAGGAATTTAAAATTTCAGAATCACTCAAATCATAATTCGTGACAACACAGTCTCCTATTTATTTCTTTTAATTTCAATATTTTTATGTTATTTTATCTACCGATAACACTAATTTTAATCTATTTGTCTCCAAATAAGTATACAGTATTATTAATTATTTAAAATTTGCCGCGTGAAATTTTATCGTTTTAAATATTCTTAGATGTCACAAAAACATGTTTTTGTCTCAAAAAACCGTGTAGGGAGAAATTTTTCTCTCCACACAAAAAACTAAACCGAGGAATCAAAATTTTCATAGATTGGCAAAAATATTTTTTCTTTCATGTTTTTTGTAGAAGTTATAGAAGAGACATACTTAAATTAATCTTAAATTAATTGTTAATAAAGAATAATAATTTATTGAATCTTAGTGTACACTCGTTACCACAAATACACCAAACCACCTGTAACACAAGTACGAAAAAAAAATAAAAGCTCAAACGGTCTTTGTTAAGTATTTTATTTTATTTATAGTACATATACAGGTGCGCCAGAACTTGCGCCCCAGAGAAAAATGCCATATAAAGTAAGATGCCAGGAACACCGAAAAAATGTTAAAAAAAATTTTCTATAAATACTTCGAAGTTATGAGAGTTTAAAATTTGCACCTTGACTCTATTTACTTCTGTTGAAAAAATAATTTTCCAAGTTTTTTTGCTACAGTCTATTAGAAGAGGAAACAAAGAAGCTGTATCCTAAATTGTTACTCTGCTCAATGTTATTTATGGCTTTTATTGGCAAAATTTTTGTACCTTTACTTAATAATTGAAAAAAAAACATATACAAGATTATCAGTATCATTAAATAGACATAAAATATGTCAAATGTCAAAAAATAAATGTCAAAATTATTTCACAGATAGAATTTTTTAAACATTTTTTTCATGTTCCTGGTAACTTATCTTACTTAAAAAAAATTTCTGGGGCGCAAGTTCTGGCGCATCCTGTATAAATGTAATGATCTACTTTAATGTTTTGCTTTTCTTCTTTCGTAAAACATCGTCTTCTTAACTTTCTCAACACTTTTTTAATATTGCAATTTTGGTCTAAAAAAAAATTGTACCGATGTAATATACGAGTAAAGCGCCTACAGTTTATACCTGTTTGCAATATTTGTTTGGATTGTAAAATACTGTAAAATTAAATTTAATTAAATTTAGTAAAAACTAAAAATCATTCTTTTGTAGTTTATTAAATTACTCGCAAAATTTTAGATCTTTGGGTATGAGAATAGTATATTAAAGTACAAGTTGCAGAAGGTACAAGCATATTCAAGCACAAATTTGAAAAAAAAAACAAATGGGTGCTTGAAGAACCTTCTGCAACAAGTGCTTTATACTATTTTTTCTATTTTGCCACTTTATATCATTTTATAAATTAAAAAACAAAAATTTTAATTTTGCGACGGTTGGCGACACTTAGTTATATGGAATAATTTTAGGCGGCTGTAAAAAATAAAAATAATTCTTATTTTAACATTTGAAAATGAATTGTAAAGAAAGTCCGTCACTAAAATTAAATTAACGCGAACGACTTATTCCAGCACTCAAATGACGTCATTTGGGTGCTGGAATAGACTTATTCTAACACCGAAGTAGAAAAAATATTTTTTTGCCCGTTGCCTTTACATACAACAAAAATACAAAACCAATCAAAGAGTCGATAACTAATATGGTATTTATTTAGGTAATTAAATGACTGCTTTTGTAGGAGAATCCGTTACGAACCTTTATGGAATTTTTGCTTTGCTGTTACCACCTTGATTTCACAAATCCCTCTTTAGTACAAAAATTAGAAACATTCCAAACCATGTTGAAAAACTTGCGAAAAAACAGCATAATCAGCGAAGCCGATCACGAAATGACTTACTTGAATAACAAAATCTGGATAGAAACCACCGCAATCCGACTCTTATCCGCACTTTTAGAATTTAACTGCAATTCGATGTACGAACAAATCCTAATAGTCGAAAACTTGTACAAGATTCAAATTTGGAAATACTTCTCGTCTGATTACCCAAACTTTTATAACTTGTTAGAAATTCTGAAAGCACTCTATTCTAGTAATTGTGGAGTCAGATTGAATATCAGTTTAATGTTTGAAACGAAAAATTCGCGTCAAGCCATTATCCAATGTATAAACGCGTTATTAGAAAAACAAAAATTTTCAGTAGCTTTAAAAATCTCTCAAATCGAAAATCTTCCTCCTGATCTCATTCTGACGAAAGAATGGCAAAATAAAATGAATGACCGAAATGATGAGAATTTTTGGAAGGTTTGTAACGAAACTTTTGCCAAACATAACGTCACAGCTGATTGCATCGTGGATTTTTTCCTCGAATGTTCAGAACAGACTTCCGATCTATTCGAAAAATTTACTTTACTAAAGCTGGCATGGGAGTGGTCGGAAAAGTACGATCTGTCGTCACTGTATGAAATCGAGAAAAAAATGTGGATTGCGTTTTTGTATTTGGATGACAAACATCGAGATCTTGACATTTTCGATATCAAAGAATCGACGTATCTTTATAAAGACTTGATTGAAATGTTGAAAGATGTGAGTCAATACGAAAGTGACTTAAGTAAAGATTTGATGAATCAGTTGGAACGAATTGTTGCTATTGTTCTTAACAAAAAGAACTTTTGGTTGGCTTTGAAGCTTCAGAAAATGTTTGGCTGCAAAAGTGCCGATTTGGAAACTCTTAAGTTGTGTCACAACCTAGCTGAAGGAATTTTACTGCCTTATCAGTTGGCTGCTGAGCAACGTTTGTTACTCTCAAATGTCAACTACTTGAGGACTTACAGTCGCAGAAGAACTTTATTGTCGACGAGGTTTTCAAGTTTTAGTTCATCATCTCACAGTCCGGCGAATTCTCTACAGATGATGCAAACTGTAGATAATGTGGAGTCTTATACCAACGATACTTTGGCCATTTTAAAGTTGCTTTCGGAACATTTGCATAGTGGAGTCGAGATTGGACAAAAGATTTTTATGAATTATCGAATTAGTATTAATATTGAGGTGCCATATCAGGTTGTTGTGATGACAACTGATTACATGAAGATTTTGAAAGATGCCTTGGAAGATAATTGTATGAATAAGATCGATGTGGTCCATGACTTTATTTGGGCTTATAAATGGTCGAAACATGAGGTAACTATTATCAAAATAAATGACACTGTTTTTTTTTAACACAAAAACAAAATCAGCTTAATTTTATTTTGAATTTTGTTTGGTTTCTAATGAAATAAAAGAAATGTATAATGTATGAACAATTATAAAAATGTAACGTTTTTACAGGTTGCTGATTTTATCTGCGAAGAGCTAATAAACTCAACTGCTTCCTATGTAGACTCCAACAACGACCACTTAACGATGTGGGATTTAAACATCGATCAAGATTTCCTTCTAATTCTCCAACTTTTACAAGACAACTGTTCAGTTCTAGGTCACAAAATCTACTCGTATGCCAGCACTTTACACAAATCTCACATCGAATCCGACTACTCTTTCAAACCATCGGACCTTTCACTCGTTATTGAACTATTGATAAGAGCCCACGACTGTTTCACCACCGACTGCAACATGGAAGGAATTTCAATTGTCTTAAAAAAATCAAAAGAAGTCGTCGCGAATTTACTAATCCTCCAGGACTGGAAATTAATGGTCAGACTTTTGACTGGTGTTGCTAGATACACGGAAATGAACTATGTTTTCCAAATTCTGAAAGAAAACGACCAATTTGAATTTCTCCTGCGCAAAAATTTACGAAAAGATAACACTCTTAAAGTCGCTTTGTTGGAATATTTGAAGAAGTTTTGTCCCGATAATCGTGACCTTTATAAAATAGTAGCCCTTCACTTTACACTCTTTTCTGAAGTTGCGATTCTGTGGGAAAGAGAGGCGCAAAATAACGTCAAAAATTTGATTTCGATTTCAAAGTTGGAGATGCAAAATAACAAACTTAACATCGATGAAGAACCGTTTTTACTGTTCGAGAACACCCAAGGCACGAAAATTTGTTTAAATAAAGTGAGTGTAGATAATTTATGTTGATTTTTTAATTTTCTGTTTTTGTAGGCAATGGAAAACTATATTCATGCAACTGATTTCCATCTACAGGGCGAAAAATTAACACTAGCCATGAATTCAGCGAAACAAGCCGAATTGATTGCTTTGCAGTTGGCACTACTGAACGAAGTTCCGGTGAATACTTCAGTTGTTTGTTTGTTGAATTTAAAAAGTGGGCAAATTGCCGAACTTATAACGTCAAAATTGAGGTAAATTATTGGTTTTTAATAAATTTTTCGTTTAGTTTGTTTAGTTTTGAGCAATCGTTGATTCTGGTCGAGGCTTACAATTTTCACGCCGATTGGGCTTCCATCCTTTACGAGAATTACGTGGTGAAAAATAACGCAACATATTTGGAGGATTTTCTTAAACATTTGCCATTGACTGATAATTTAGCTCATGATATTTCACGGAAGTTTATAGTCTCGAGTATAAATTCTGTGAGTGAAATAAAATGTATGAAGAACATTTTGAGTCGATTGCCGTCACTGCATGTCAAATACCGCATTGCTAGTGAGTTAGGGTTTACAGATTTGGTTGAAGATTTGATTGCGAGTGGGCAGTTGGTTTATTTGAAGGATACTGTGTGGAAGAAAGGATACAAGAGTTGAAAACCGTTGCAATAAATTCGTGATTTTATTTAGATTTTTTAGTTACATGTGTATTTATATGTGGCTGTGATTTAAAATGTTATCGAAACAAACTAAAGTTTTATCTTTTTACTTTATTCAATAAATTTATATACCTATTTAACATGTGTGTATATTGCAATTTTTGTTTTTTTTATTGAAATAGATGATGCCTAATAGACTAGTGCACTAGTACTATTTTTTAAGGATAGTAATAGTATTCCACAAAACGTTTAATTAAATGTTAATCTGGAGTTTTTAAATTAATTTTGTTTTAAGTTAGCTAATGTTACAACAGATTATGAAAATTGCATTTTCCTGACTAAAAAAAAACAATAAAAACGTAACTCAGTCATGTATAAATACCACGTGCAGAACTCGCACAAATGCAATATTTTTTACGTTCCATTTTGTTGAAATACGATATTGACGCATGTTACATTTTGTAAAAGTCGTTCAGTTTATAAGTGACCGCGAATCTTGAAGAATTTTTTTTGTAAGTTTTGACTTCTCCGAATAGTAGTTTTACTAAAGTGCGAGTTTAATTGGTATTGTTTAATGTTTACGTATGTTTAATTTGTTTTAAAATCACAATTTTGTGATGTGATGTAAATGGACATTTTGCTAAATTATGGTGAATATCATGGAAACTGTATTTTTCGAGGTATTGAGCAGCGTCTTTGAGATTACGGATTAGATTAAAATAAACAATTTGGTGAGTTATTCAAAATTACGTACTTATAGGTACATACCTACATATTAGTACATTTCTTATTGTTTTCGTCTTGCATGGGGCGTTTAACAATTTATGTGATTCTATTAAATAATAATTATTCGAGCACAATGTTACTGTTGTACATAGATTTATTTCAGACTTGTTTTATTGTTGAAATATTATAAATATTAATGATTATAAATATTGTTTAAAACGATTTTCTTTCTAACAAATTTTGTATTAAATAGGTATTCTAATTTACAATGGGTTTTTTACGATTAAAAAGATATAAAGTCTTTGTTTTAACCGAAAAACAAATTAACTTTATTTTGTTTTTGTTTTTATTTAGTGGCTTTATCTATAGCGTGTGCGCTGCTATGGTTGTATAGATAATAAAATAACGGTAAAGTATAAAAATAAAAGCTTTGCGTTGCAAAAGCTACAATGTAGAAACTTACAATAGGCAACACTTCGGAAAAGAAGCCTAAATTTCGTGGTTTGGTTTATATTAAAACAAATTGAATTGAATTTAAATTAATTATTAAGTGCCACTATTTACATAGTATATTTTATATTATCAATTAATTGGATACCTTAAAGAAAATTTGTTAAATTACAATTTATGTACCATTTTATGTCAATTTTCAAACCAAAAATAAAATTATAAAAACTTACTAAGTAATAATGTACCTCGCTATCTAACTATACCCAGAATTCATTAGAATTAACAAAGAATGCTTTATACATAGGTGTACGTCAGCTGATAAAGCTTCTAAACAATGAAGAATGAATTCCCGGCATATATGAAAAAAATTCCAGACAGTAATTACACCGTCATTATTAGAAAAGATACTTAAATCGAGTTCTAGAACATTATACCGGGTGAAAATGTGGAAATAACAGAATGATACTTTTTATAAAAAGTAGGTGGTAATTGTAACAAATATCTACAATAAGATATGTGCTTACAATGAGGTGTTGAGAATTATAGTGGAATTAGGTGAAATTCTAATAAAAGTTAACATTTTCACTTAAAAAAATGTTTTGTTTCAAATACAGTCACTTTACCGTTAACATTTTTTGTTTTTAATGTTAGGGCAGTGTTTTATTGAAAATTAGAACAATACTCAGTTTGGTGAGAGTAAAAAGTGAATTTATAAACTGGGATAGGCGGATAGGCCAGTTTTACCGTTTCATAATTACTTAATTTCTTTAAATACATTTAACCATACCTATTGGCATTTAAAAAATAAAGTTTTCGATTGTTTTTTTTTTGACATTTTTTGATTACTCGTGAAGTGCTTAACTATTATTATTGACGAAATGCACTTGCCACAAACTGTACAATTTTTATTATTTTATCATTTTCTCTACGTCCACCGCAACACTTGGTTATTTCAAATCATACAAATTATAAATTTTAATGAGTTTGCAAGCTGTTCAATGAAACAGAAGCAAACTTTTTATTCGATTAAAAAAGTAGTCATTGTACCAATTAAATTTTATTTTGATGGTATAAGAGAAGATATGTGGTTTTGCAACTTAAAATTTGTTTTCTATATAAATATGTAAATAGAATTTTTTTATAATAATAACATCCACCAAATGATACTTAATTTTCACGTCTCGTAGTACTGGTGAAAATGTACTGAAATAAGTGCACTTTTATAAATTTCTAAAAAAAGCTATGCATTTAATAAAGTTTATTCACGGTATTGTATAAAATTTGCGAATAAATTAATATGCGTTGTGTCCCCGGATAGGTAAAACGACGCTTGTAAAAGGTTCTCTATTTAAATTTTCATTTTTTTGGAGTTTAGCCCTGCTTGGTTAAAGATTAATTTCTAACATATTTATTCACTTTACTCATAGAAAAATAGGTTTTCTTGAATATTTCCGAGGCATATTTAATTTTTCAAAACTAAAATTACATGAAACGTACATGTATAAACATGAGGAACTTATAAAACGTTTCCAGTAAAAATTTTGCATTTCGTTTTTCATCTCGTTAAAATATTTGAACAAATAAAACGGATATAATCTGTTTTTGAAAATTATTCCGTGATTTCCGTGAATGTCAGTTGTTACTGGATGCAACTTTTTTAGTGTATCAAATAACTAAAAATGATAAATACAATGGCTGAAAAGCAAAATAAATGTTTTATTGCAACTTTAAACTTAAACAAAAAAATTATACCAATCTGCTATCTCTCTGATGAGCGCAAAAAAACTGTCTCTGCCGTTTCTTTCATAGGCATCTTCTCTAGTTCTATTCAAACCGTCCCTGTAATATTCTAGCCCCAAAATCTTTCCACTTCGATTCAAAATGCGCTTGCAAAATCTTGTCAACATTTTTAATTTTTTCAGACTTAACGTCTCATATCCATGTTAGCAAGATTAACGTTAAAAAGTTTTTTTTTTCTTTTTTTTTTGGTTACTACTACTTACGAATTTCAAAGAACTGAAGTGTATAGAAGCTTAAATTACCTAATCTCCCAGAATTTCGTAGAATGGATTTATCTGATTTTGCAGAGTAGGTTATTACTACACGTAATAATAGAATAATACTAACCACTGATGACTGCAAAGTGCGGGATATACCTGCCTTGGAAAATTGAAAAACTCACAGGATATAAGTTGTTTGTTATATCAGATTTATTATGTCCAAGACTGTTTCAATGGGTAAAATATCGAAAAATCTTAGTGGCCAAGGTATGAAATCAATTTGATCTTACCCAAAATAGTCCAACGTAACTCTGGCTACATGTGACATGTGTTATATTGTTGAAAATATTGATTACGAGAGATCTTGAGCTGTGGTAAATCATTTGCTTCTACCACGTTGTGAAAGTAACGTTGGGCCATTATGTCGCCTGTGATGCAGACCAAAATATTGTCTAAACAGTAACCTCTCGTACCATAACCACCACGGTTCTGTTTACACAGAACAAATCTGGATTTGTCGGTAAAGGTGTTACATTGCTGGTACCGATGTAGTCTTTTTAGCATCATTGCGGTCAATTTTGGCGATGCTCAGGGGTGAAGAATTAACTCAAGACTGAAGACGGTATAAAAACAGTCTTAAACTTTCGAGACAAAAAAACCTATTTGCGTTCCAGTAGAACTTCCATCTTCTCTAAGACCTCTAAGACCACAATCGTTCTTGTGGAAAAAATGCTCTTCGCAGTCTTTTGTTTTTGGACCCCATCCTATACATCGTGCTGTTCATGTTTGTCTTTCTTGAAACCATGTCTAATAAATAATAACAACTAACCACAGTAATGAAACTCCTGCTCGTCTTTGTGGCAATTTTTCTAAATGATAAAGGGGCATTCTCAGACCCAGTATTCGTGTTTTAAGAAGTAAAATGTTATAACACTTACACCACAAGAAACAATGAACTGATTTGTCTGAAAATTTAATCGTTTCTTATCTTAATTAAAACACATAAGTATAAAAAAATAATTACGATATAATCATAAATACTGGGTATTCTGTTTTCTATGTTACCATTGATTAACCATATGGTTAATCAATGATGTTACTTAGCATATTTTTCATTAAATTAATTGTTAAAAGCAAAATAAAAAAGTCTTGATAATTATGAAGTTTTGCTTTATTTGGCGAACACTCTAAAATAATTAAGGCACTTTACACGTTCTATGAGATTCAAGCAAGAGTTTTCACGTTTCTGTGTATTTAAATTAAACGTTTGTCTGTGGCAATTTATAACAAAACAAAGCAGAAGCGACGAAAGCAATCCGTCATGATCCATCGTAGCGGCGCGGCGGCGGCTGAATTCCCAAACATCCCTGCTAATATAAAACAAAGTTTCGAGTAAAATTAATGGAAATTTCTCTATATCGTTTTCGCGGTGACAAGCGAAACTATCAATCAGCCGAAACCGCGCTCAAATTGCAGAATTCCGCATGCAAAAACGGCTACGTTTATTCTCCTCCGTAGATGGCGTATTTCCAGAATCTGACAGAGACGTATCGCATTTATTTGCGCCCCAATCGGCATCAACCCCTTTGTCGATTTCTCTTGTCGGTGCTTTGAGTGCGAGAGTTCTTGTTGAGATCACGTGTGAGAAAAACAGTGGAGATGGACGTTTGCCGCTTAATATCAGTGTCGAGGAACATCGTTAATCTTGCTCTGCCTACATAGAATGTAATTATCGGGATATAGAATACATTGAGCTTCGAATTCAACGGCGAACGATGGAGGAGGCGAGGGCTGATGCCAACGACTCTTCGCTCTTTTTTTCCGCCAAGACGGACGATTAGTGGCTGATTTAATAATATGAATTCTTTATAAAGCATGTAATCTTTTCTAAATTACACATCATTTATGAGGGGGCGGAGTTTGCCCCAACACTGTGATTAATTGATGAACTATCTGGCGTTAATGGCTCTTGATGGGTTTGA